GCTGTAATATTATTAATATGTTTGTTCCATTTTAAGTCTGTTTGTATTGTCTTCAGCTTTGTACTTGTTTTGGCTTTCAAACTTTTTTTATCTGAGCGTCACTGGTTTGTCTTGTGTGGACGAGACGCACGTCTGGCATATTGAATTTTAAGCCTAGTACCTTCTGCTAGCTATTATTCGTGTGTTTCTTTGTCCTATATGTTCTCCCATTTATTTGTATTGTGGTCCTGTCATGTGATGTCGTCGTTTTGGTGTTGTGTTTGACGTTGCCATAAAAGCGGGAGGTTTGGCATGCCACAAAACCAGGTTCAACCCACCATTTTTTTCTTAAAATGTCCTGTACCAAGTCAGGAAAATGGCAATTGTTATATTATAGTTCGTTTCTGTGTGTGTTACATTTTAATGTTGTGTTTTTGTTGTGTCGTTGTTCTCCTCTTATATTTGATGCGTTTCCCTCAGTTTTAGTTTGTAACCCGGATTTGTTTTTATCTCTATCGATTTATGAGTTTCCAACAGCGGTATACTACTGTTGCCTTTATTTATGCCAAGATATTTTGTGGATTTTTCTTTTTGCAGTATATGTTGGTGGAGAGTGTAATCAAATTTTATTGGTTTTTTATACGACTGCAAAAAAATTTTGTGGTCGTATATTGGTATGACGTTGGCGTCGTCGTCGTCTCCGGCGTCGTCGTCCAAAGACACATTGGTTTTCGCACTCTAACTTTAGTTTAAGTGAATGGATCTCTATGAATTTTTACCATAAGGTTCAATACCACAAAAGGAAGGTGGGGATTGATTTTGGGGGTTATGGTACCAACAGTTAAGGAATAAGGGGCCAAAAAAATGCATTTTTGTAACTTCCAGACATAACTTGTGTGTTAGTGTATGGATCTTTATGAAATTGTACCACAAGGTTCCATATCACAAAGGGAATGCTGGGATTGATTATTGGGGGTAATTGCCTCCAAATTTTAGGAATTAGGGGCCAAAAAGGGAAAAAAAACAAGCATTTTTCTAGTTTCATGACAATAACTTCTGTGTAAGTGTATGGATCTCTCTGACATAGTACCATAAGGTTCCATATCACAAAGGGAATGCTGGGATTGATTTTGGGGGTAATTGCCTCCAAATTTTAGGAATTAGGGGCCAAAAAGGGGCAAAAAACAAGCATTTTTTTAGTTTCATGACAATAACTTGTGTGTAAGTGTATGGATCTTTATGAAATTGTACTACAAGGTTCCATATCACAAAGGGAAAGCTGGAATTGATTTTGGGGGTAATTGCCCACAACGTTTAGGAATAAGGGGCCAAAAATAAGCATTTTTCTAGTTTCCAGACAATAACTTGTGTTCAAGTGTATGGATCTCTCTGAAATTGTACTGCAAGGTACCAAACCACAAAGGTAAGGCTGGGATTGATTTTGGGGGTAATTCCCTAGAAACTTGAGGAATTAGGGGCCATAAAGGGGCAAAAAAACAAGCATTTTTCTAGTTTCAGGACAATAACTTGTGTGTAGTTGTATGGATCTTTATGAAATTGTACTGCAAGGTTCCATATCACAAAAGGAAAGCTGGGTTTGAGTTTGGGGGTAATTGCCCTAAATGTTTAGGAATTTGGGGCCAAAAAACAAGCATTTTTCTTGTTTCCAGACAATAACTTGTGTTCAAGTGTATGGATCTCTCTGAAATTGTACAGTTCATTCATGTGAACCTCCCGACGGGAGTACAATAATCCCGTTTTCAGGGGTCTCCTCCCGACCTCCCGTTGAAGACAAAAAAATCCCGTGTATGAAGTATTTCATGAATGAAAAATTTCAGCCCAACATATCTGGTGTAACTGACATTACTGAAGTTATATTTTACCTGTATATCAATTAACATGCATAATTATATGGCCTCATTTGTCACCTTGGGTGTCAAACATACTGGTAATCAACGATTTTTACCTTAGGCTAACTGCCGTTGTGTAATAAAACTTTGTTTATTTAAAATGAATGTTGGGTTACTTCCCTTGATTTATCCTGTTTTTAAGTTACTTTCCTTTAAATAATGTAAATTTTTAAAAGAATATAAATAAAATATAAAATGAACAAATAATCATAAAAGGATGGTAATTAAATGATTTTAAATGTTTTAGGACAAATAAAAAAATAATAATTTGAAAATTATTTGAGGGTTCTATACTTCCTTTCAAGGCTTAAATTGAAATTTATATAATAACTATGACCCATGTTTACAGTTTGAATGTGTTACTTATCATGCATTATAAATCTACTTGCATGAAGATAAATATAAAAGATCTACTTGCAGATAGATAAGCAAATGTTCTGATTGCAATGAATAATGGTAAAAAAGATATGACCTAAAAAATTTAAAGAACATACTGAAAAAGAAGAATGTTAGATTGAACAAGTTGAAAGTTTAAAAAGATAGAGAAAATTTATAAGTACAAAGGTACTATAAACATAATACATTCGGATGGAAAGTTGAAGAAAACACACTTTAACAGACAATTTCTACAGCACACGGTTACATTTACGACAGAATTTATGTCGATTAAAAACATCCTGATCTCAGTCCTAATCTCCAAAACTCCTGATCTTAGTTTCGCAGTCCATCACATGTATGTGTACTGCAAGGTACCATACCACAAAGGGAAGGCTGGGATTGAGTTTGGGGGTGATGAATCATAAGGGGGTTCAAAAAATTTGGGGGGGGGGGATTTTTTTTCCCTTTTTTTCTTTAAAATTTTCCATTTTAAATTAGTTATTTCTGATTTATATATAAAAGCAAATAATAATGATATGGTTTGAATAGATAAATTAAAATTTTTAAGTTCTTAGACCACATTCATTCTGTGTCAGAAACCTATGCTGTGTCAAATATTTAATTACAATCCAAATTCAGTGCTGTATCAAGCTTGAATATTGTGTCCATACTTGCCCCAACTGTTCAGGGTTCGACCTCTGCGGTCGTATCAAGCTGCACCCCAGCGGAGCATTTTATTTTTCATTGTTTTCTGAAGGACTGAGCACTTGTCTGGATGGAAAGACATGAGCCAGTCCTTCTCCCATTTTGCTGCTGATGTTAGGTCTTCTTGCAGTTTTTGAGTGTCTTCTTTGTTTCTTATTGTTTTGTATATTATGCTGTCATCTGCAAATAATCTTAGGGTGCTATGTTTCATATATTCATTGAAGTCATTTATGTACACAAGATACAGAATAGGACCCAAAACTGTTCCTTGGGGAACGCCAGATGTTGCATTAATTTTGTTTGATTGTACACCATCAATAATGACTGTTTGTGTAAGGAAATCTTCTATCCATTTTAAGGCGGTGTATTCAATGCCATAATATTTAAGTTTGGAGAGAAGTCTTTTGTGAGGAACTTTGTCAAATGCTTTGGCAAAGTCCATCACAATTATTTCAGTTTGGATGTTATTGTCATTGTTTTTTGCAAGTTCCTGTATGAATGATACCAACTGAGTTTCACATGATCTTGATGCTCGGAATCCATGTTGAAGGTCGTATAAGATTTTATTATTTTCCAAATGATCCATCATACTACTGGCTATAATATGTTCCATGATTTTACAAAGTATGCAGGTGAGTGATATAGTTCTATAATTTATTGCATTGTGTTTATCTCCTTCTTTAAATACAGGACAAACATTTGCATGTTTCCAATGCAATCATCTGGGATTTTTCCTGTGTTTAGTGATTTCTGAAATATGTATGTAATTGCGGTTGAGATGTCATTACTAAGCTCTTTCAGTACTTTTCTGCAGATTTGATCTGGGCCAGTTTCTTTGTTGGGATTGATCTTGTTCAATAATTTTATTACACCCTTCTTTGAAATAGTCATGTTTTTCATTTTTGGATAGAATGATTTCCCCTTATCTAGTATTGGTTCACTTGATCATGTTGATGTTTCTTCAAAAACCCTTTTTTTTTTCAGTAGTTAGGTTTTTACAATCCCTGTACATCACCACCTGACTATATATGGTGTTAAGGGTTTTGATAAATAAAACAAAGTTTAAATAATTGTCTACATTTTTTCTACTACTGTCAATATATATTATATGGATATCAACATTATACCAAAAAGGGAAAAATAACAATCACACACACATACACACTCTTGCACTTGCATTTACCAATGTTTACATTTCCATAACATAAGTAATCTTGTGTATTGCAAAGAAAAATCTGCTCTCTATAAACTGTAAGTTGCATTTTTTTATTTGATTTGAATCATGTGAGGCAAATTTGTTAGCACTCTAATGTGTACAGTTCTTGCCAGATCTTAATGAAACTTATATCACAGGTTTATATCAGGAATGTCTCGGACAATTTCGAAAATCAGAGCCTATCAATTATTTTAAAAGAGTTATGTCCCTTGGAAATTGCATTGTATTTGCCCTCAAGCCTTCATTTCTATAAGAAATTTATAAAAAAGAATTAAAGAAAAAAGAAGTTTTTGCCCTTGGATAGATAAAATGTAAGCCACGTGGGGGGACATTGGAATTCTGTTCTTTTATGCACTTTGAATGCTTGACTGTGTTTTTTTTACAGCAGTTGGTTAAAATTTCTAATTATATAACCAGATAAACAGTTAAATTTGATGAAACAAATTGCAATTTGGTCAGAATTTTCATTGAACTATTACATGTATATTAGTGGACTCAAGTCACTGAAATTAAATATGAAAATAAGGAGATGTGGTATGATTGTGAATGAGACAACTATTAACATGATTAACCAGAGTCCAAATGATGTGGATGTAAACAACTGTAGGTTCCCTTTCCACCTTCAATAATGAACAAAACCAATATGGTATAGCTATAGTCAGCTATAAAAGGGCCCTATATGACAAAATGAAAAAAAAATTCAATAAGAAAACCAACAACATAATTAATGATAAATCAATGCATGAAAAATTGAAACAAAGTGTTCATTTTGATGAGCAATGATATGCATGTAGTTTATATTTTCTTTCCAGATTGATGTGTACCTGTCCAAAAGTTTGTCAGATAACTTGTTTCTGCTTCAGGTAATTGCATATAACTTTTGTATGTTCAAGATTCATAAGATATATCTTGAACTTGATATTACATTTTTTACCTTATTAATTTGGTATATTTTATTGTCTGAGTACATACTACAAGATGAACATTAGTATATGTGTGACTTAGAATTACAAAGCCATGTTAGGTGCTGTCTCTGACATATACCAGTATGGCATATTAATATATGTACCTATAACATGTTTAAAGGAGAAGGTTATCTCACAAATTTAAAAAAAAAAAAGTTATGCAAAATTCTAGAAGTTTTTGTACTGGTAATACTGGTATTAGTTTGTGATTAGGTCAGTTTATGGGGAACCACTAGTGGTAGGTCAATGATATTTGGTATGCAGTTGTATAAGCAGTGGCATATCTTGTTTCCATGGAGATTATTTGGCCCTGCCCCCTCAGTCATGGTCTATTGACTTTGAAACTTTTGCTTAGTTTTCATGTATTAGTTTGTGATTAGGTCAGTTTAAGGGGAACCGTCAGTGTAGGTCAATTATAATTGGTATGCAGTTGTATAAGCATTAGCACATCTCATTTCCATGGAGAATATGGTCCTTACCCCACAGTCATGGTCTATTGACTTTGAAATTTTTACTTAGTTTACATGTATTAGTTTATGATTAGGTCAGTTTAAGATGAACCACTTATGTTAAGTCAATGATAATTGCAATGCATTTGCAAGTTTCATTTTCATGGAGATTATATATCCCCACCCCTTCATTATGGTTCATTGACTTTGAAACTTTTACATAGTTTGTTTAAAGGGAACGACTTATGAAAAGTCAATGGTATTTGGTATGCAGTTGTATTAGCATTGGCACATCTCATTTCTATTGAGATTGTTTAGCCCTGTACCTTCAGTCATGGTTCATTGACTTTGAACATTTGCATAACTTGCATGTTAAAGTATTGCTACTTTGATTTCAACATTTGCATTATCATGATTATCAAAATAACAAATAGGCGAGACATATCTCTGTGTTAACAGTTTATCTTATAGATTATGTTATGGATGTGATGCTATAATTTTTAGAAACAAGATGGTATTTCAATTTCCCCTGTTTACCAGGATGCTAAATGAAATATCTGGGGAGAACACTGGCTTACTTGTTCTTTTCTCCCAGAAATATATTTTTTTTGTGAGGGATGAGAAGGGGGTTCTTTGACTTGCTTGGATTCAATGCATTTGTCAATTCATTCAGACCACAAGCAATGACAAGGCAGTTTGAATAAAGTCTGAAAATTTGTCTTGAAAAGGCGCCAAAATAATTAAAAGGTGTAATGTTGCCAATTTACCCACTTTGAAGCATTGGTGATCTCTCACTTTTTTCTGAAGTCTCCCTGTTAGTACCGGTATTCACTTCTCCCTGTTTGACTCCCCAAAATTCTGAAGTGTGGTGACCACTAAGTGACTAAAAATGCAAGATTTCCACTTAGAGAATAGAGAGATATGGACATGATGGAATTCGACAACAACCCATAAAATACAAAATAAGCCACAAAGTAACTTGTGTTGTTATTGATTGGTACAAGCTTTTCACTTTTCCAAAGATTTGCACGTAAAATCTCAGAAAGGCTAGTGAACTTCAAAGCTGACTTGCTCACCTGGCCAGTTTGAAATAGTTTTTTATTTCTACCCCTTGACCCATTTTACTGGAGACATGATTTTACTAGGTAGCTGAATTACAATGTACAGAACTTGGCCTTGGAACCTGTCATAGAAATAATACACTTACTGACTGTTTTTGTTTGAATAACACAAGTTTAAGTTTAAACCAATGGAAAACTTTGTAGTTTTTTTACTGGCCTGCAACAAATGTAGCAGTATGGTAGACATCATAGACAAAGGTATTATTTTTTGGTGGGACAACCGTTTGCAAATAACTTCAGTATCATATCCTCGTGTTAACCTCAAATGACAGAAATCTGTATGGAGATTATGAAGAGACAAGAACTTTACATATTGAGTACTGCCAGATTTGCATATAAATGTTACACATTGGTTTCAATCCATACCTAATAGCAAGATCAAGAGGCCCCTAGCCTAAGTAGCCTTCATAGGGAATTAACAAGCAGACAAACAGCTCTTACTTATGATTTGTATATGCATCATAGATTCAAATACTGCTAATTTCAACTACATTTACAAAATTTTCAGTACCCAATCAGACCAGCCCATTTGAATTACGACAAAATTGAACACTTAGCAGCTAGAGTTAAACCACAGCAGAAAAAGGTAAATTATATAAGATTTGATTCTGTGTTTGTGTCTGTGGAACAGAATCCCATGTACCACCAGGGTACTTCAAATTGAAAGTAACAAAACTTCGGCTAATTAAAAGAAGAATCCATGAGCTATTGCATGTACTGCTTGAACACATGGTTACTCACATTATAAATAAAATAATATGTATGGTTCCAGTGAAATTGCTCTAAAAAAAACATAGGTACAATGTAAGTTTTTTTTTCTATTTAAGTTTTACCCTTGTGCGTCCGTACGTCCCAAAGTTGGTTTCCATTCTCTAACTTGAGTTTGCCTCAACCAAATGTTATGAAACTTTTACACAATGCTTATTACCACTTAATACAGATGAGTTTGAAATTGGTTGTTGTCACTTTTACCGTTCTTGAGTTATGCCCCTTCATAAAGATAAAAATTGCTGAATTTTTCGTTTCTGTTCTCTAACTTTAGTTTGCCTCAACCAAATGTTATGAAACCTATACACAATGCTTATTACCACAAAACTCAGATCAAGTAAAAATTTGGGTAGCGTCACTTTTACCGTTCTTCAGTGATGTCCCTTTATATCTTTATATGATATGCCAGCGGGGGCACCATCTGTGTCCCATGGACGCATTCCAAATTTATCTATTTTGATATTTTTTTCTATAGAATATACAGTGGACACATTGTGAAACCAACAGTGCTTACACTTAAAAATGGCAAGAAAAGTTGGTGTGCGGGCTCAAAATTAGGATAGATGGGGAAACTAGAACTACATGTATTATTTATTTGGCCTTAGAACCAGCATTCTGAAAAGACTAATTAGTGAAGATTGTTCTATGTATTTGCTAGGAGGTCATACTAATTAAATGTGGTGTTGCAAATAAAATCACAAGAAGCATGTATCTAAGAAAATTATACGTTCTAAATGAAGTTTTAGCTTAGCATTTGCACAGTTGTTCATATTGACTTTTACAAATATAGTTGCATACAATTACCAAATTAGGAAAACAAGCAATTAAACACTAAGAACCACTGCAGTCTGTAATCTTTGTTTCGAAATTATACATTAATATGGATTTAAAAACTATTTTATGGTAAGAGAGTGCCCTTTCAGACAACTAGCACCCTTCTTCCCTGAGATTCAAGCTGGAACACTGAGAATGATTTGTGGAATGCAACATATTAAAATTGAAATGATTTTGATGACACAAACATGCAATTCCTCAGGATTTGACCATGCTTTTTGAGTATAAGACAATAAATAAATATATATATACCTAACAACAAAATTATTTTCATTTACCTGTGTTCAAAGTAATTGCAAATGGCTGATATTTTTGTTCAAGCATATTGGTTGTCTTAAATTGTTTAACATTTCATAGCGGTTTAACATGTTACATTAATTATTCCTCCCTCAGTTTATTTATTTTGTATTTACATTGTATCATATATCAAATTTATTTGTTCAGTGTATGTTCACTGGTGTTAATATGTCTTTTGATTGAGTTAAGCTATTTCAATTGATATTTAATAGTGTGTCTTTCTATGTTGTGATGTTACACTATTGTTTCAGATAAGGGTGAAGGTTTGGTACCATTAAAAAGTTTAAACCTGCTGCAATTGTTTGCACCTGTCCTAAGTCAGGAATCTGATTTCAGTAGATGTCGTTTGTTGATGTGGTTCATAAGTGTTTCTTGTTTCTCGTTTTTATACGCCCGTTTTCCGACAATAACTCAAGAATGCTTTCACCAACTTGCAAGTAATTTTGGTGAATTGTTTATATCTATTGACATGAGCTCCCTTTCGATTTTTATAAATTTTAGATTTTACGTTTCCGAGTTACAGGGTTTTATTCATAAAAAAAGGGTGATTTTCCAGTTTTTGGACAATAACTAAAAAATGCTTTCAGCAGTTCTCATGAAACTTTGGTGAATTGTTTATATCTGTTGATGTAAGCTCCCTTTAGAATTTTATAAATTTTAGATTTTACATTTCTGAGTTATGGGGTATTATTCATTAAAAAAGGGGAGATTTTCCAGTTTTTGGACAATAACTCAAAAATGCTTTCAGCAGTTCTCATGAAACTTTGGTGAATTATTTATAGCTATTGATGTAATCTCCCTATTGATTTTCATAAATTTCAAATATGACATTGAGAAGAAATTGAACTTTATTTGTATATAGTCTGACAACAGATTTAATAAGTATTGAATGGTTTTACACTAGCAATTTTTGGGGCCCTTTATAGCTTGCTGTTCGGTGTGAGTCAAGGCTCCGTGTTGAAGACCGTACTTTGACCTATAATGGATTACTTTTATAAATTTTGACTTGGATGGAGACTGAGAGTTGTCTCATTGGCACTCATATCACATCTGATTTAAGATAACAAGTTTCATTTGATTATCAAGTGGCAGTAAATCATTGTATTTAATATTTTATACTATTAAAAGTGTTTTAACGTAACTGATTATATCAGTGATATTTGGTATGAAATTATTTCGTGACTTCTGAAAAAGGATCTAATCTTGTTTTTGTTCAAAAATGGGGAACACTTGCACACAGGGGTATTGTTTAGTATACAGTAAATGCCTTTTCAAGCACTTTCAGGCTATGTTTTTTTGTCTCTTCCATAGTATGCAGATACTTTATGTTACAAAGTTTCCGTCTGTCATATGTCCATTGGCCTTGACCTCATTTCCATGGTTCAGTGACTGCTTAAAAAAATTATAGTTTTTTGTCATGTGAATTTCTGACTTATTATGTGTAGTAGGATAGCTATGTTTGGATTATGGGTTCCTTGCAAAGTCTACATGTTTGTCAGACAGGGTTCACCTGACCGCGATCTCATTTCATGGATCAGTGATCAAGGTTAAAGCTAAGTTATTATGACTGTTACTCAGATACTATAAGGGAGTATAAGCAGTAGGTGGTTTATATGTGGTGTATGCAATGAGTGTAAGGGGTATATGTCAGTCTGGAAGGTGTCATCTGACCTTGACCTCATTTTCCTGGTTCATTGGTCAATGTTAAGTTTTGTGTTTTGGTCTGTTTTTCCAATACTTTAAGCAATAGGTCAACTATATTTGGTGTATGGAATGATTAAAAGTTGTACATATCAGTCTGGCAGGTATCATCTAACCTCTACCTTATTTTCATTGGTCAGTGTTCAAGTTTTTGTGTTTTGGTCTTTTTTTCAAATACTATGAGCAATTGGTCAACTATATTTGGTGTATGGAATGATTGGAAAGAGTACATGTCAGTCAGGCAGGATTTATCTGACCTTGACCTCATTTTATTGGTTCATTGATCAATGTTAAGTTGTCCTGGTTAAATCTGTCTCTTAGATACTATAAGCAATAAGGTCAACTACATTTGGTGTATGGAATGATTTTAAAAAGTGTATATGTCTGTCTGGCTTGGTGCATCGGACCTTGACCTCATTTTCACAGATCGTTGATAATTTTAAGTTTATGTGATACTTGTAGTAAAACTTTATCTGTAGGACTATCAACATAAAATCAATCATGGTAAGTAAAACAGGTGAGACATTTCAGCATGTGCACTCTTATTTAAGCTATTCAGTTAAATAGTGTATTTTCAAAACTTCTGTAGTTTTAGCATGTTTAGGTTCCATGCAAACTTGTTCCATGAATGTATATGTACTGATGAATTGTTTCTATGTTCCTGAATCTGTTTTAGGTGGAATTCGACTTAGCTGTCAACACTTCAAGTACCTACTATGCAAAAAGTAAAGGTGAACAGATTGCTCTCAATGTTGATGGATCATCAAGAGGGGATCAAGGAGGGTTTTATAGAAGGTAAGAGAGAAGATAACCAAGTGTATAATTAAGTGGTTATAAACAGCCTATACAATGACTACTTGCGCTAGCCTCTACTTTATGAAATCACAGAACTTTTCAATGACTTGGAACATTTTGTATGAGCCTAAGAAATTTTTATGAAGTATTTCAGCTATTTCAGTTTTTTGCAGTTATTGTTATTGAGTTAGTTAACAGATTTGAGGTATAGCGTTTATTTAGCTATTTTTGACAATTCACAGAATTTTCTTATTACACAAGAAATGAAAATAACAGGCTCTTACAGCTATAGAGAAAGCATTTGTTTTTCAGTGATAAGATGGACAAGCAGATCCTAACCTCAGCTCCTTGTTCTGGTGATATAGGACGATATGGTGTGGGTGTATTTAAAGAGGGTAAGAATATAAAGGACAAATATTAAATAAGGAGATGTGGTATGATTGCAAATGAGAGGACATCTTGGAGATTATTTGGCCCTGTAAATTCAACAAAAATGTTCAAGAATGTAGGATGGTCATTATCAACCAAATTCTTCAAGCTTCAAAAGAAAGATTTTCAGAAAAGTGGAATACTTTCCAAGCCTTGATTACACAATTAGTCTCTTATGTTTTAAAAGTGACTTCACAATGGATTATCAGACTTTTTAACATATTAGGCTGATTTCAGAAGCATTTGGATAAATTAACATTGAGTACAAGCAAATTTTTCTATGTCATTGAATAGATAAACACAAAGAGAAATTACAATGTAACTTCTTATGGTGTGTAGGTTGTGCTGCATGTTATTTCTGAGCATGTGTAAGTCAAATATTCACAATTTTGCTGTATTTTCTATCATTCTATGGCTGTGTAACCAATAAAAAAAGAATATTTTAAACCAAAACTACAAAGTTTGATTAAAGTATATATATTCCAACATTTGACTTTGATTTTGAATTAGAGAGAGTTGAAAATACATTTGATTCTCCTTTAAAAAAAATTTATTTCACAGAAACACTTATTATGCCCCCGCCATCACTGGAGTCCTTGCGTATGTCCTGAAATTGGTTTCCATTCTCTAATTTTCTGAAACTTATACCCATGCTTTTTACCACAAAACACAGATTAAGTTCGGATTGGGATGGTGTTACTGTTCTCTAGTTATTCCCCTTTATAACCTTAAATGCAAGCAGGACCATCATCTGTGTCCCATGAACACATTCTCCATTTATTTTTTAAATGAAATATCATGATGAAACCTAATGAAATTGACATAATCAAGATGTTTGATTTTTTTATTGACAACATATTTGTAATGTTTTTCAACAAACAATTGCATTCCTATAGGAACAAACTGTGCTCCTTTTTGTCGAGCCTGCGACTTTTGTCCCAAAAGTGAAACATAGCGATCCTACATTCTGTCGGCGTCGTCGGCGGCTGCGGCATCCACAAATATTCACTCTGTGGTTAAAGTTTTTGAAATTTTAATAACTTTCTTAAACTATCCTGCATTTCAACCAAACTTGGACAGAAGCTTGTTTATGATCATAAGATAGTATCCAGAAGTAAATTTTGTAAAAAAAAAAAACCTGTTTATCCGTATTTTACTCATAAATGGACTTAGTTTTTCTGCCAGTTAACAACATTCACTCTGTGGTTAAAATTTTTCAAATTTCAAATTTTAATAACTTTCTTAAACTATCCTAGATTTGTACCAAACTTGGACAGAAGCTTGTTTATAATCATAAGATAGTATCCAGAAGAAAATTTTGTAAAAAAAAAAAATCCTGTTTACCTGTATTTTACTCATATATGGACTTAATTTTTCTGCCAGTTAACATAACATTCACTCTGTGGTTAAAGTTTTTATACGCCCGTTTACGGGACGTATTATGGTATACCGTTGTCCGTCTGTCCGTCCGTCCGTCTGTCCGTCTGTCCGTCCGTCTGTCCGTCGTCAACATGTCAGACATTAACTCCAAAATGCTTTAACCAATTTGCATAAAACTTTGGTGAATTGTTTATATCTATTGACGTGAGCTCCCTTTCGTTTTTTATAAAATTTAGATTTTACGTTTCCAAGTTATGGGGTTTTATTCATTAAAAAAACTGGGAATTTCCAGTTTTTGGACAATAATTCAAGAATACTTTCACCAACTTGCAAGAAATTGTGGTGAATTGTTTATATCTATTGACATGAGCTCCCTTTCAATTTTTATAAATTTTAGATTTTACGTTTCCGAGTTGCAGGGTTTTATTCATGAAAAAAGGGGGGATTTTCCAGTTTTCGGACAAAAACTCAAAAATGCTTTCAGCAATTCTAATGAAACTTTGGTGAATTGTTTGTATGTATTGATGTAAGCTCCCTTTAGAATTTTATAAATTTTACATTTTACATTTCTGAGTTATGGGGTTTTATTCATTAAAAAAAGGGGTGATTTTCCAGTTTTCGGACAATAACTCAAAAATTCTGTCACCAATTCTCATGAAACTTTGGTGAATTGTTTATATCTATTGATGTAAGCTCCCTTTTTATTTTCATAAATTTCTAATATGACATTGAGAATTAATTGAACTTTATTTGTTTATAGTCTGACAACAAGTATTGCACAACAGCAAGAAATCTTTAATTGAATATAAATTCAATTCATATAACCAATTTCAAGATCTTTGACTACATTTATTCAGAAACCTATAATATGTCAAATATTTAATTACAATCCAAATTTGGACCTGAATCAAGCTTGAATATTGTGTCCATTTTTGTCCCAACTGTTCAGGGTTGGACCTCTGCGGGCGTATCTAGCTGCGCTCAGCGAAGCAGTTTATTCAAATTTTAATAACTTTCTTAAACTATCCTGGATTTGAACCACACTTGGACAGAAGCTTGTTAATGATGAAAAGCTAGTATCTAGAAGGAAATTTTGTAAAAAATTATTTCCTGTTTTTCCGTGTAATACTCATAAATGGACTTAGTTTTATTCCAGTTAACATTACGTACAATCTGCAGTTAAAGTTTTTAAAACATTTATTAGATTCATAAACCTTCTTGGATTTTTACCAAACTTGAACAGAACTTCTTACAAACAAAAGATAGTATCTAGAGAAAAATTGTTAATAATTTTTATTCCCATTTTTGTTGAGCCTGCGACTAACAGCAAAAGTAGGAGAGACATTGGGTTCCGCGGAACCCTTACGAATTTTCTATTGACTTATTCCTGTATTTATATGAGGCAGACTTCATACAGGACCTTCTTATGAAGAATGAAAAAAGCAAGCATTATTCTTTATCTTCACCTTCAGCTATATAGATGATTTCCCTTTAAAAAAAAGTTCAAAGTTTGGTGACAATGTTCATTGCATCTAGGGCCCTAGGTTGACGAATGGTCTAAGCAGTTCATCTACAGTTACCACTAGCCTGTTAAAAATGAGGTAGTGAGTTCAATCACTGCTTGTGCCAGATGCATTCAACCTCTACCTTAACTGACTTGGATTGCCATTTTTCCTGCCGACCCTGGGTTCCTCCACCAATAAATACTGGCCAACAGGATATATATGTAGCAAAGAGTGCTGAAAGTGGCTTTAAAAAAAGGTTCCAAGTGGTCAAGTTGAAGAGATCCACTGACTCCAACGTGAGTTGGTTGACTGTTATTGAAAATCTGTGTCACAGATACCACAGATATGTTCCAATTAAGGTAACCACAACATGTCCTCTTTTCCTTGATTGTGACCTCACTGAATGAGACATTTCACTGAATTGGTACTCACAATGAGCAATATGGCGTATGCCACTAGTGCAACATCTGCTTACCCTTTATTAGCACCTGAGATCATCCCTAATATTTGTTGTGGTTTGGTGTTGCTCAGTTTTTAGTTTTCTATGAAGTGTTTTGTGGACTTTTTTATCTTTTCCTTTTCCATTTTTTGCCATTGAGATGTCAGTCCCTTTTAGATTTATGAATTTTATATTGCCTCTGGTATCTTCCATCTTTTTTATGCATCTATTCTCATCACTTGGCTTTTGTTATCCTTGTCATTTAACTTTAACAAAGAAATCTTCTCCTCTGAAACTACTTGGCCAATTAGAACCAAACTTGACCACAATCATTATTGGGATATCTATTTCAAAAAAATTGTGTCTGATTATCCCTCCAACATAGTCGACATGGCTAAAATGGAACAGAGGGGTAACATACAAGTTTTGTCTTATCTTGAAATGCTATAGATTTTAGGGGCAGATATGGTCAAAAGTTGAGATCAACCTACTGTCCATTTACACTAAAACTGTCAGACGATTCCTTATAGGAGTTATTGCCATTTAAGACAATTCATGTACCATTTTTTATTTTGCCCTTTGTCTTGATAAGTATATTAGAAAGAGAGTAACTTTTAATGGCAAACATGATTAATCAGACAAGATATAAAATTAAGTGAACATGACCAATATCTTAGGTCTACACCTTATAGGTTGCACTTTGTAAATACAGCTGATTCACAAACCATGTCTCTTTTGGGGAGATATTTGATATTCATAGATAGTTTGTTTTGTTTACCTATTGGTTCCCAGATATGATCTCCATGTTTCATCTCATAGAGACACAACCTGGGAATTTTACTGGTATAAATACTGTTGGATAACAGACAAATTGAATTCTCAGGAAGACTCAAAGTAAAGGGAGAGGTAGTACAGAATTTAAGTATAAATTTAAACTCTATGAAGTTCAAGGCATATAAATGTTGAAAATATGCCGCACAACCCTATATTTTGACCCAAAGGCCAGTCTGAGCTTGTTGTCACTAGGTGTCCGTCGTCTGTCGTCATTGTTTTTGGTCATCAACTGTTAACTTTTGTAATAATCTTCTTCTCTGCAACTAATAGGCCAAATTTTACCGAACTAATCATCATTGGGGTATTTAGTTTTTAAAAAATGTGTCTGATGACGGGGCCTACCATGACCAACATGGCTAGAAATAGAACATAGTGGTAAAACAAAAGTTTTAACTATTGCTTTGAAAACCACTATAGATAGAGAAAATCTGACAAGAATAATAAGATCTACCTACTGTCCATTTACATCAAAACTGTCAGGTAACTTCTTTTATAAGTAATTGCCATTAAATGACAAATTTTACCAATTTTTATACGACCGCAAAAATTTAAAATTTTTTGGTCGTATATTGGTATGACGTTGGCGTCGTCGTCCGAAGACACATTGGTTTTCGCACTCTAACTTTAGTTTGAGTGAATGGATCTCCATGAAATTTTACCATAAGGTTCAATACCACGAAAGGAAGGTTGGGATTGATTTTGGGGGTTATGGTACCAACAGTTAAGGAATTAGGGGCCAAAAATAAGCATTTTTGTAACTTCCAGACAATAACTTGTGTGTAAGTGTATGGATCTCTCTGACATTGTACCACAAGGTTCCATATCACAAAGGAAAGGCTGTAATTGATTTTGGGGGTAATTGCCTCAAAATTTTAGGAATTGGGGGCCAAAAAAGGGGCAAAAAACAAGCATTTTTCTAGTTTCATGACAATAACTTGTGTGTAAGTGTTTGGATATTTCTGAAATTGTACAACAAGGTTCCATATCACAAAGGGAAAGCTGGAATTGAGTTTGGGGGTAATTGCCCGAAACATTTAGGAATTGGGGGCCAAAAAGGGGCCAAAAATAAGCATTTTTCTAGTTTCCAGACAATAACTTGTGTTCAAGTGTATGGATCTCTCTGAAATTGTACTGCAAGGTACCATACCACAAAGGGAAGGCTGGGATTGAGTTTGGGGTGATGAATCATAAGGGGTTCAAAAAATTTGGGGGGGGGGGGGGGGGGGGGTTTTCTTTTTTTTTCTTTTTTTCCTTTTTTTTTTCTTTTAAAATTTTCCATTTTAAGTTGGTTATTTCTGATTAATATTTAAAAGCAAATAATAATGATATGGTAGGAGATACACACCAAACAGGATGTGTTAATTATTATATAATAAGTATTGTGCAATAGCAAGAAATTTTCAATTGCACAGTATTGCACAATAGCAAGAAATCTTCAATTGCACAGTATTGCGCAATAGGAAGAAATCTTCAATTGCACAGTATTGCGCAATAGCAAGAAATATCCAATAGCACAATATTGCGCAATAGCAAGAAATTGTCAATTGTACAGTATTGCGCAATAGCAAGAAATATTTAATTGCACAGTATTGTGCAAAAGAAGATACTTCGTATAAATTGCTTATTTCTTGATCAATTTCAATGGGGTTTTATTCTTGAATTCTTGGGGTTCTTTAATATGCTGAATCTAACCGTGTATTAAGTTTTTGGATTTTGGGCCCCGTTTTTAAATTGGTCCACATTGAGGTCCAAAGGGTCCAAAATTTAACTTTGTTTGATTTCATCAAAAATTGAATTATTGGGGTTCTTTGATATGCCGAATCTAACCGTGTATTTAGATTCTTAATTTTTGGTTCCGTTTTCAAATTGGTCTACATTAAGGTCCAAAGGGTCCAAAATTAAACTTAGTTTGATTTTAACAAAAATTGAATTTTTAGGGTTCTTTGATATGCTGAATCTAAACATGTATTTAGATTTTTGATTATGGGCCCAGTTTTCAAGTTGGTCCAAATCGGGGTCCAAAATTAAACTTTGTTTGATTTCAACAAAAATTGAATATATGGGGTTCTTTGATATGCTGAATCTAACCATGTATTTAGATTTTTGATTTTTGGGCCCCGTTATCAACTTTGTCCACATTGAGGTCAAAAGGGTCCAAAATTAAACTTTGTTTGATTTCATCAAAAATTGAATTCTTGGGGTTCTTTGATATGCTGAATCTAACCATGCATTTAGATTTTGGATATTGGACCATAATAGGTGAATGTCCAATTTAAAATTTTTAAGTTCTTAGACCACATTCATTCTGTGTCAGAAACCTATGCTGTATCAAATATTTAATCACAATCCAAATTCAGAGCTGTATCAAGCTTGAATGTTGTGTCCATACTTGCCCCAACTGTTCAGGGTTCGACCTCTGCGGTCGTATCAAGCTGCGCCCTGCGGAGCATTTTATTTTCATTATTTGCCTATTATCTTGAAAATTATAATAGAAGACAGAAACTTTAAAAAGCAAAAATGGTCGACCTACTAAAAACTCACATTGCAGAAATTGTGAGTTGAGGTCTTATCGAAGTTATTGCCCTTTGATGATGATTTTTACCATTTTTTGCATTTTTGCCTATTTTCTTGAAAACTATAAAAAATAGATAGAAACTTTAAAAAGCAAAAATAATCAGTAAGACACAATCTGCAAATAAATCATCAAAAGATGAAGTTGTCAGTTGTCCTCTTATAGGAGTTATTGTCCTTAAATGATTATTTTTTACCATATTTGTTTTTGGGAAAAAACTATAGAAGTTATCAGAAAAAAATATCACCAATACAAGTTCAACAAATTAAAGATTTAGTCATGAATTATATTCTAGGCTACAATGATAGAGAGTGTCCATTGTTGAAGATACACATAATACCTAGATGAACAGCACAGTCTAGTTAGATGTTCTAAAACCTGATCACGCTTACAGATAATAAAATCAGACACTTGCATAAGCGATACATAAATATAGAATTGCATGTCAATTCCTTGTAAATAAATGAGAATATTTTTCTTTAAGTTAAAATTTTGTATTTTATTAACTAAAGAGGAAATAAAATTAAAAACTGTCAGCAGGTTAGCCAGAAAATGTGAGAGTGATTAAGTCAATAACTGTAGGGCTTAAATTTATCATTAAGCTCTGTGTCTTATACTTCAGTTTCAGTCATATAACTTGGAACATTTATCTAGAAATCTTGTCAGTTTTCATTTTTATGCCCCCGCCATAGTGGAGGGGGCATTAAGTTTTACCCTTGCCGTCTGTACATCTGTACTTCCGCCTGTCCGTAAGTCCCACAAATTGGTTTCCTTTCTATAACTTAGTTTTCCTAAACCAAATGTTATGAAACTTATACACAATGCTTATTACGACAAAACACAGATCAAGTTTGCATTTTGGTGTCGTCACTTTTACTGTTCTAGAGTTATGCCCCTTTACAAATGGAAAAATTACTGAATTACGTTCTCTAACTTAAGTTTGCTTCGACCAAATGTTATGAAACTTATAAACAATGCTTAGTACCACAAAATTCAGATCAAGTAAGAATTTGGGTAGTGTCACTTTTACCTTTCTAGAGTTATGTCCCTTTAAAAATGGAAAAATTGCTGAATTTTTTGTTTCTGTTCCCTTATTCTACTTTGCCTCAACCAAATGTTATGAATCTTATATACAATGCATATAGTACATAGAATTAGTATTCAAATAAACCTGTCATGTAGATGTATATAGACAGTTAATGAACACATTATGAGAAGTCATGTCAAAATAGATTATTCCAACCTATGTTTCATGCTTTGTGGACTTTTTCAGGTGGCAATCTGTAATTTCCATTATTCTGTTCTTTTTTCCAGGTGAGCTACATTTATCACCTCTCCATGCTGTAGTGCAAATGAGACCATCATTTAACTACTTAGACAAAGCAGATGACAAAATCAAAACAGAAGCTGCTGCAAGGGAAGCTGCAGGTATTGTACACTTAGTAGCATTCGCCAAATTAAAAAGAAAAGTGGGGAAGCAAGGATACCAAGGGGGCAATGAAAAACCATTACTGGTGATCAAAGTCCACAAAACACTAGTACTATACAGACATAAAAAGTTTGGATGAAATAATAAAACGGTATTTCATTGTTTTGAAATTGACTTCATGTTAAAATAACTTTACCTGTATGCTTCATTAATGACATATGCTCAAGTTATTGGATATAATTGTCAATTTAAGCACTGACACATCATGCATGTTAATATAGAAGGGCATTTTTGAAATATTCTGCATATTGATTAGAAAATTAAGGAAACATATAAATAAAGGCAACAGTAGTATACCGGTATTCAAAGGTCATAAATCGATTGAGAGAAAACAAATCAGGGTCAAAAACCAAAACCGAGGGAAACACATCAATCACAAGAGGAATTCAAAGGAACAACAGGAATACTGAAGTGCAACAAAAACAAACGCCAACATACATAGAAACGAACTATTTGATAACAACTGCCATATTAAGAAAAAATGGTGGGTTGAACCTGGTTTTAAGGCTAGCCAAACCTCCGGCTTATGTGACAATGTTAAAAAATATCACTAAAATGACAACACTATGTGACAGAAATACAGCACAAACACATTGAAGAACACTCAACACAGAGAAACGCACAAACAAATAATATAATAGTCGACACATTATGCTAACCGCAGAACAACAACGAACATCTTCCATCAACGACAGACACCACAGGGCATCACAAACAGTGACGCACTTATGTAACAACATACAATCTCAAACTTTATACAATTATTTTCACAATACCAGTCCACAACAATTTTCATGACAATGATTGTATTGAAAGGCTATTTTAAAATTATTTGTACTACAATCGATAAGACATAACACACCATCCAACCGAAACCATAACAGAAACATCAAAAATAGATACATGAATGTTGGATGTTCAAAATTCCTAGACATGTCGTATAGCAATGCAAACCCACACTCGGTACAACAGTCACATACGAGAATAGGTCACGTTTGGTAGTTATCAGACATACGACATATATGTTAAACCTCAATCTAAGACGTGGTAAAAATGTCATTAGTTAGTTTAGACACAGACACATCGTATAGATCAACCAATTCGTGATGGTGTCCATAAAATTTACGGAGTGTCATTTTTAATCTTTCCTCCTCATATCTCTGTTGGAGCAGTTTCTGCGTAAGGAGCACACTCCTGTATATGAAGTAAATATAGTGTGAACATGCACGAGCATAACGTATCAACTGAGATATGTAAACACCATACGACGGAGCAGAGGGTATGTTACTGCTGAGAAATGGGAAATTAATAATTGGGAAGTTGAAATCATCCTGTTTGTCATAGATTTTAGTGTGAATTAGGTTTATTTAAGTTTTCATGCAGGTGGTCTAGAATGATTTATTTTATTTACGTCATTAAGAATCAGTCACATATCATTTTTTCATATATATTTCTGAAAGGAGTAGGGGTGAGGCAATAAGGCCATTATTTGGCATAAATATAAGGTCAAATTGAAAAAATACCATTTATATTCCTAAAATTGTCTTAATTTTACTATAAAGGTACAAGAAGTTTAGAAAATAAAGATAAATTTCACATTTAAGGAGTTACCATGACACCAAACCATTACGAAATTTGTATATTTTGTAAAATTTCTTGATTTTGCTTATTTTATATCAACTTATAAATATATTTGGGATTAGAAAAGAATGTGCGCACCAAAAAGAAACAATTTTATAATTCATGAAATTATGATAATAGCTAAAATTAAACTTATTTAAAATTATTTTGTTGTTTCTTGCATTGGCTGCACATAAAGTTTCCACAAGGAAAATAAAGATGAAAAACTGCATAGATTCAGCAGTTTTCTTTGTTTTAACAGAGTTCGCGAAAACTTATTTTGACTCGTCGGTCATGGGACCGACAAAGCATGATTATTTGTCAGTCCTACAAAATTTTAGCCAGTCCTACAAAATCTCACAATTTTATCCTGAAATAAAAATTAATAACATATTTTATCGAAAAATAACTTTATTAATATTAGTTTTATTCTTCGCACCCACAGGCAAATTAACATCGAAGGACCAGTTCAGTCTTCTGATTGTTCTTATTTAAAGTCATCTTCACTATCCATTTCATCATCTGAATCACTTTCTCGGCTGTTACAGTATTTGTTTGCTCCATTGTAGGGTTCAATCACCGATTGTTTGCCAGGGATGACTCTATGAACAAATTTAGTAGGCCACGTGTAGATCGCCGCTTTGGTTTGTTTATAATAAATCCGTAAACCAGTACCGGAAATTGGCAGCGGGTACATCTGATAACCGATGTAAACACTTATTGGAAACAGTTGCGGTACATCTAATAACCGATGTAAAAAAATGCCGAAATATGCACTACAACGGCCGTTTTTACATCTGTCATCGGGACTGGCACTAGCCTTCAAAATACTGGTCTGAGCCTCATTTTGACCGACAGGACCGACCATTTTCGCGAACTCTGTATTATGACGTTAATTGTGACATTGTAACATCAAAAGTCTTGTGTAATTCATTTATATTTCTTTATCTTATGGTTTTCTTAACATTATGTGCAATATAAAAATAGTTCTTATAAACTTTATTTTCTTGGGCCCGCCTTTGCGGTCAAGTTTTCTTATGATTGTACATGCATATAGTGAATTAAATTATATAATAATCTTTTGAATGATATTTTTGTTAAGTTACATTATACATACATTTGCATATTTCATAGTAAAAGAAAATGTAGTCTTAAAAACATTAAAATATAATCATATGACACAAAATTGAAAACAGAAATTATCAAATTTTAGGAGATATGTCTCAGGATGAAGAAGATGAAGCTAAGCCTGTAACTATGAAGTTTGCTCGTCAAGAGACAGAGGAGGCCAAAGCCAGGAGAATGAGATCTTACGGATATCTACAGAAAAAGAGGAATGAGGAATCATGGATTCATTTAGAATATCATGGTGTAAATGTGGGTACAAAACAAAAACATATTATTTATAGTAATTGAAAAGGGGGTGTTGGGAAGCAGTTATACTTAGATTTGATGGATGGTGGGTTTTTTTCTGACTACAAATTTAAGAACCTTTATATGAAATTAAAACAGAATTGTATTGTAATTAAGTCGCCTGATTTCCAATTCATTTTTCAATTTTGAAAGATGGGAATTTTGACATTCAAGTTTCTGTATGTTTTCAAGATGTTTTAAAGGATATACATCTGCATAAAAGTAAACAGTAATGAAAAAGGAAATGACTATTGGAAAAAAAATTTTATGGCTTACAATTATATTTGCTGTGTCTTGTTACAACATCTTCTCTCTTGCAGTCTGATTTAGCTGAAACAGAAAGGTCACAGTTACATGCCAGCAAAGAGGAAGAGGTTTCTGAATTCTGTGTCAAACCAGATGAGTATTTGAAGATGTTGATGCCACCCTCAAGTGAAACAGAGAGGTAAACTTAGTTCCTACTACTAGATGTCGATGGGGTTTTTATACGACAGCAAAAATTTCATATATTGGTATGACGTTGGCGTTGTCATCGTCCGAAGACACATTGGTTTTCGCACAATAACTTTAGTTTAAGTGAATGGATCTCTATGACATTTTACCATAAGTTTCAATACCACAAAAGGAAGGTTGGGATTGATTTTGGGGGTTATGGTACCAACAGTTAAGGAATAAGGGGCCAAAAATAAGCATTTTTGTAAATTCCAGACAATAACTGGTGTGTTAGTGTATGGATCTCTCTGACATTGTACCACAAGGTTCCATATCACAAATGGAATGCTGGGATTGATTTTGGGGGTTATTGCCACAAAATTTTAGGAAAAATGGGCCAAAAAAAGGGCAAAAAACAAGCATTTTTCTAGTTTCATGACAATAACTTGTGTGTAAGTTTATGGATCTATCTGAAATTGTACTGCAAGGTTCCATATCACAAAGGGAAAGCTGGAATTGAGTTTGGGGGTAATTGCCCAAAACTTTTAGGAACAAGGGGCCAAAAATAAGCATTTTTCTAGTTTCCAGACAATAACTTGTGTTCAAGTGTATGGATCTCTCTGAAATTGTACTGCAAGGTAACATACCACAAAGGGAGGCTGGGATTGATTTTGGGGGTAATTGCCTTCAAATTTTAGGAATAAGGGGCCAAAAAAGGGGCAAAAAACAAGCATTTTTCTAGTTTCAGGACACTAACTTGTGTTCAAGTGTATGGATCTTTATGAAATTGTACTGCAAGGTTCCATATCACAAAGGGAAAGCTGGGTTTGGGTTTGGGGGTAATTGCTTTAAACGTTTAGGAATTTGGGGCCAAAAAGTGGCCAAAAATAAGTATTTTTCTAGTTTCCAGACAATAACTTGTGTTCAAGTGTATGGATCTCTCTGAAATTGTTCTGCAAGGTACCATACCACAAAGGGAGACTGGGATTGATTTTGGCGGTAATTGCCTTCAAATTTTAGGAATTATGGGCCAAAAAGGGGCAAAAAACAAGCATTTTTCTAGTTTCAGGACACTAACTTGTGTTCAAGTGTATGGATCTTTATGAAATTGTACTACAAGGTTCCATATCACAAAGGGAAAGCTGGGTTTGAGTTTGGGGGTAATTGCTTTAAACGTTTAGGAATTTGGGGCCAAAAAGTGGCAAAAAATAAGCATTTTTCTAGTTTCCAGACAATAACTTGTGTTCAAGTGTACGGATCTCTCTGAAATTGTTCTGCAAGGTACCATACCACAAAGGGAAGGCTGGGATTGATTTTGGGGGGTAATTGTCTCAAAATTTTAGGAATAAGGGACCAAAAAGGGGCAAAAAACAAGCATTTTTCTAGTTTCAGGACACTAACTTGTGTTCAAGTGTATGGATCTTGATGAAATTGTACTACAAGGTTCCATATCACAAAGGGAAAGCTGGGTTTGAGTTTGGGGGTGATTGCCCTAAACGTTTAGGAATTTGGGGCCAAAAAGGGGCCAAAAAACAAGCATTTTTACAGTTTCCAGACAATAACTTGTGTTCAAGTGTATGGATCTCTCTGAAATTGTTCTGCAAGGTACCATACCACAAAGGGAAGGCTGGGATTGATTTTGGGGGTGATGAATCATAAGGGATTCTAAAATTGGGGGGGGGGGATTTTTTTTTCCCTCTTTTTTTTTTTTTTTTCCTTTTTTTCCTTTTTTAGCTCACCTGACCTGAAAGGTCAAGTGAGCTTTTCTCATCACTTTGCGTCCGTTGTCCGTCGTCCGTAAACTTTTACAAAAATCTTCTCCTCTGAAACTACTGGGCCAAATTTGACCAAACTTGGCCACAATCATTTTTGGGGTATCTAGTTTAAAAAATGTGTCCGGTGACCCGGCCAACCAACCAAGATGGCCGCCATGGCTAAAAATAGAACATAGGGGTAAAATGTAGATTTTGGCTTATATCTCTGAAACCAAAGCATTTAGAGCAAATCTGACATGGGGTAAAATTGTTTATCAGGTCAAGATCTATCTGCCCTGAAATTTTCAGATGAATCGGACAACCAGTTGTTGGGTTGCTGCCCCTGAATTGGTAATTTTAAGGAAATTTTGCAGTTTTAGGTTATTATCTTGATTATTATTATAGATAGAGGTAAGCTGTAAACAGCAATAATGTTCAGCAAAGTAAGATCTACAAATAAGTCAACAAGACCAAAATGGTCAGTTGACCCCTTAAGGAGTTATTGCCCTTTATAGTCAATTTTTAACCATTTTTCGTAAATTTTTGTAATCTTTTACAAAAATCTTCTCCTCTGAAACTACTAAGACAAATTTAACCAAACTTGTCCACAATCATCATTAGGGTATCTAGTTTAAAAAATGTGTCCAATGACCCCGCCCGCGAACCAAGATGGCCGACATGGCTAAAAAATAGTACATAGGGTAAAATGCAGTTTTTGGCTCATATCTCTGAAACCAAAGCATTTAGAGCAAATCTGATAGTATAAAATTGTTCATTAGGTCAAGATCTATCTGCCCTGAAATTTTCAGACCAATCAGGCAACCCGTTGTTGGGTTGCTGCCCCTGAATTGGTAATTTTAAGGAAATTTTGCCCTTTTTGGTTATTATCTTGAATATTATTATAGATAGAGATAAACTGTAAACAGCAATAATGTTCAGCAAAGTAAGATCTACAAATAAGGCAACATGACCGAAATTGTCAATTGACCCCTTAAGGAGTTATTGCCCTTTATAGTCAATTTTTTACAATTTTCATAAATTTTGTAAATTTTTGTAAATTTTTAAAAGTATTTTCCACTGTAACTACCGGGCCAAGTTCATTATAGATAGAGATAATAGTAAGGAGCAAGAATATTCAGTAAAGTAAGATCTACAAACACATCACCATCACCAAAACACAATTTTGTCATGAATCCGTCTGTGTCCTTTGTTTAATATGCACATAGACCAAGGTGAGCGACACAGGCTCTTTAGAGCCTCTAGTTTTTTTCTTTAAAATTTTCCATTTTAAGTTGGTTATTTTTGATTTATATATAAAAGCAAATAATAGTGATATGGTTTGATTTCATCAAAAATTGAAATATTATGGGTTCTTTGATATGCTGAATCTAACCGTGTATTTAGATTCTTAATTGTTGGTCCCGTTTTCAAATTGGTCTACATTAAGGTCCTAAGGTCCAAAGGGTCCAAAATTAAACTTAATTTGATTTTAACAAAAATTGAATTCTTGGGGTTCTTTGATATGCTGAATCTAACCGTGTATGTATTTAGATTTTGGATATTGGACCATAAAAGGTAAATTAAAATTTTTTAAGTTCTTAGACCACATTCATTTTGTGTCAGAAACCTATGCTGTGTCAAATATTTAATCACAATCCAAATTCAGAGCTGTATCAAGCTTGAATGTTGTGTCCATACTTGCCCAAACTGTTCAGGGTTCGACCTCTGCAGTCGTATCAAGCTGCATCCAGCGAAGCATTTTATTGTCATATGAAGTCCTTTCTGCAGCACAATAATATACAATATATGTACACTGTCAGAAAATATTTAATTTATTATACCTTCACAAACAATGATTTTTTTGGGGGGAAGGGTGAATATAGGAATCACCATGTATGTCCATATGCCTTCAGGGTTCACCATAGGCTACTTAAGGGTGGTTCTCATCCACCCTTAAATTTTAGCACCAACCTTGAATAAGTGACCTTTTGCAAGTTTAGATTCCTGTTTCTCATTCCAGTTGACCCTCTTTGCAGAACTTACCTGTTCTTGTTTTGAATATGCATGAAATATTTGTCATTTGATATTAGGGAAACAACCTTCACTCAAACATACAATAAAGAATCAAGGGAGTAAAAGCTTATAATTCAATTATAACAGGTACAGAAGACCAGAACATCGGAAAACAATACTATATCATACTATTTTAAAGGAATACCTGATAAAACATTTATAAATATTTCAGTGAAAAACCAGCCATGCCAAGTAATGTGTTGTCTCTTATACAGTTACGTACAATGCCACTTGCAGACCAAGTTAAAACATTACTCACAAACGGTAAGTTTACTAATACTTGTTTAAAAGAATTTTTATGTAATTGAATGTGATTAAATAACACTTTGCAAATTATTATATAATCTAAAAAAATTTAAGGTAACTCAAATGTAAATATATAATCAAGTTTGTACTGTCTAAATTGTTTTTATACGACCGCAAAAAAATTTGCGGTCGTATATTGGTATCACGTCGTCGTCGTCTGAAGACATTTGGTTTCCGGACAATAACTTTAGTAAATGTAAATAGAAATCTATGAAATTTAAACACATGGTTTATAACCACAAAAGGAAGGTTGGGATTGATTTTGGGGGTTGTAGTTATAACAGTTTAGGAATTAAGGGCCAAAAAGGGGCCCAAATAAGCATTTTTCTAGTTTCCAGACAATAACTTGTGGAACGGTGTATGGATCTCTCTAAAATTATACCACAAGTTTCCATACCACAAAAGGATGGTTAAGATTGGCTTTGGGGGGTTACGGCTCAAATCGTTTAGGAATTAGGGGCAAAAAAGGGAAAAAAACGGGTTTCCTGGTTAATGGACAATTAAAAAAAAGTACATTGTTATGTTTGGATTACCTCCCTTACACTGCTTTTAAATTATGTATAAAGAACTGTTTTATTGTCTTGAGGTGATTAGCTGTCAATTTATTTTTATACGACCGCAAAAAAATTTTGTGGTCGTATATTGGTATGACGTTGGCGTCGTCGTCCGAATACACATTGGTTTTCGCACTCTAACTTTAGTTTAAGTGAATGGATCTTTTTGAAATTTTACCATAAGGTTAAATACCACAAGAGGAAGGTTGGGATTGATTTTGGGGGTTATGGTACCAACAGTTAAGGAATTAGGGGCCAAAAAGGGGCCAAAAATAAGCATTTTCTAGTTTCCAGACAATAACTGTGGAACGGTGTATGGATCTCTCTGAAATTATACTACAAGTTTCCATACCATAAAGGGATGGTTAGGATTTGCTTTGGGGGGTTATGGCTCAAACCGTTTAGGAATTAGGGGCAAAAAAGGGGAAAAAACAAGGTTGTCCTGGTTAATGGACAAATACTTTAGTACAAAACATAATTTAAAGCAGTGTAAGGGAGATAAATCAAATACATCATTGAAACTATCTCCCTTACACTGCTTTTAAATTATGTATAAAGTAATGGTTAATGAACAATAAAGATAATTTAAAACAGTGTAAGGGAGGTAATCCAAATACAACGTTTTGGTTACTTCCCTTACACTGCTTTTAAATTATGTTTAAAGAAATGCATATTTATAAAGGAAGACCAGTAAAAATATCTGCAAATGTTGCATCATTTTTGTTTACAAAAAAATCCATATGAAAGATTTGACACTATATTTTTAATTCTATTATAAAATAGATTAAGTTAGCACTATGGTAAATTTAAATGGGTAATTATGGTTGCCAACTCCATTGGAAATTTGAATTGAGATTATGACCATATCTTGAGGGAAAGAATTTTTTGGGGGAAAAAAAGGGGGGGGTGGATTAAAAGAAATTGTGGGGGGTCAATTTTTTCTCATTTCAGATTTCAGAAATTAAAAAGAATTATTCTTCAAATATTATTTTTTTTTCAAATTTCAAATATTGAAAAATTTCAAGAAGTAATCTTTAATTGCACAGTATGGCGCATTAGATATGTAAAATCTTTGATCACATTTATTTATTTGTTATGCCGAATCTAACAGTGTATTTAGATTTTTAATTTTGGGTCCAGTTTTCAAAATGGTCTACATTAAGGTCCAAAGGGTCCAATATTAAACTTTGTTTGATTTTAGCAAAAATTGAATATATGAGGTTCTTTGATATGCTGAATCTAAACATGTATTTAGATTTTTGATTTTTGGCCCAGTTTTCAAGTTGGTCCAAATTGGGGTCCAAAATTAAACTTTGTTTGATTTCAACAAAAATTGAATATGTGGGGTTCTTTGATATGCTGAATCTAACCATGTATTTAGATTTTTTATTTGTGGACCCCGTTATCAAATTGGTTCAGATTGAGGTCAAAAGGGTCCAAAATTAAACTTTGTTTGATTTCATCTAAAATTGAATTATTGGGCTCTTTGATATTCCAAATCTAACCGTGTATTTAGATTTTTAATTTTGGGTCCTGTTTTTTAAATTGGTCTACATTAAGGTCCAAAGGGTCCAAAATTAAACTTAGTTTGATTTTAACAAAAATTGAATTCTTGGGGTTCTTTGATATGCTGAATCTAAACATGTGTTTAGATTTTTGATTATGGGCCCAGTTTTCAAGTTGGTCCAAGATAGGGTCCAGTATTTAAACTTTGTTTGATTTCAACAAAAATTGAATTCTTGGGGCTCTTTGATATGCTGAATCTAAACATGTATTTAGATTTTTGATTATGGGCCCAGTTTTCAAGTTGGTCCAAATTGGGGTCCAAAATTAAACTTTGTTTGATTTCAACAAAAATTGAATATATGAGGTTCTTTGATATGCTGAATCTAACCATGTATTTAGATTTTTTATTTGTAGGCCCCACTATCAAATTGGTTCATATTGAGGTCAAAAGGGTCCAAAATTAAACTTTGTTTGATTTCATCAAAAATTGAATTATTGGGGTTCTTTGATATGCCAAATCTAACCGTGTTTTTAGATGTTTAATTTGGGTCCCGTTTTTTAAATTGGTCTTCATTGAGGTCCAAAGGGTCCAAAATTAAACTTAGTTTGATTTTAACAAAAATTGAATTCTTGGGGTTCTTTGATATGCTGAATCTAAATATGTGTTTAGATTTTTGATTATGGGCCCAGTTTTCAAGTTGGTCCAAGTTGGGGTCCAAAATTAAACTTTTTTTGATTTCAAAAAAATTGAATATATGGTGTTCTTTGATATGCTGAATCTAACCATGAATTTAGATTTTTTATTTGTGGGCCCCGCTATCAAATTGGTTCATATTGAGGTCAAAAGGGTCCAAAATTAAACTTTGTTTGATTTCATCAAAAATTGAATTATTGGGGTTCTTTGATATTCCAAATCTAACCGTGTTTTTAGATTTTTAATTTTAAGTCCCGTTTTTTAAATTGGTCTACATTAAGGTCCAATTTTAGGGTCCAAAATTAAACTTAGTTTGATTTTAGCAAAAATTGAATTCTTGGGGTTCTTTGATATGCTGAATCTAAACATGTGTTTAGATTTTTGATTATGGGCCCAGTTTTCAAGTTTGTCCAAGTTGGGGTCCAAAATTAAACTTTGTTTGATTTTAACAAAAATTGAATATATGGGGTTCTTTGATATGCTGAATCTAACCATGTATTTTGATTTTGGACATTGGACCATAATAGGTAAATTAAAAAAATTCAAGTTCTTAGACCACATTCTTTCTGTGTCAGAAACCTATGCTGTGTCAAATATTTAATAACAATCCAAATTCAGAGCTGTATCAAGCTTGAATGTTGTGTCCATACTTGCCCCAACCGTTCAGGGTTCGACCTCTGCGGTCGTATCAAGCTGCGCCCCAGCGAAGCATTTTATAAGAAGTTACTATTTAAAAATGCTGATTAAGGAATATTAATTTTAGCCATGATTATGTATGTCATTTTCTATTTTAAGACTTTTATGACGTATTGAAATGGGTAATTATGGTTGTAAACTCCATTGGAAATTTGAATTGAGTTTATGATCTTGAGGTAAAGATTTTTTTTTTTTTGGAAAAAGGGGGGGGGGGGGGGGGGGTCAATTCGCAACTGCATAGTGTATTGCACAAAAGCAAAAAATTGAATATCAATTCAAATCATATAACCAATTCTAAGTTCTTTGACTACAGTTATTCTGTGTCAAATATTTAATTACAATCCAAATTCAGACCTGTATCAAGCGCGAATATTGTGTCCATTTTTGCCCCAAATGTTCAGGGTTGGACCTCTGCGGTCGTATCCAGCTGCTCTCGGCGGAGCAATTTATTTAGATTTTTGAGCTTTGGACATTAAAGTCGCGAAAGGGAGACATAGCAATCCTCCATTCTGTTGTTTTCGGCAGCGAGTTCAACATTTAGGTTCAGTATGTGGTTAAAGTTTTTGTAGACATCAATAATGTTGTCCAACCTTCATTGAATTTTATGAAATTTGGACAGAAGCTACAGTAATCAGAGCCATATTTTTTTCCCTCTTTTTTTCGTATTTTATTGGCAAATAGACCTAGATATTTTAAAGTTGACATTGACACTCTAAGGTTAAAGTTTTTCAGTTATCAAAAACTTTGTCAAACCTTCATGGAATTTAACACAAATTGGAAAGAAGCTTTTTTATTATCAATGGACAGTATTCAGTATTCAGTTTAAAGTTTTTGTAGACATCAATAATGTTGTCCAACCTTCATTGAATTTTATGAAATTTGGACAGACGCTACAGTATCCAGAGCCAAATTTTGAAAATACATTTTTTTAGTTTTTCAGTTATCAAAAACTTTGTCAAACCTTCATGGAATTTAACACAAATTGGAAAGAAGCTTTTTTTTTTTGCTATTCAAAGCAAAATAATGATTTAATTTTTTTCTTTATTTTTCTAAAAGGACTTAGTATTATTTTTTTTGGCAGTTTTCATGTAGAGACAGTCTGGTGTTAAAGTTTGTTAGGCATCAATAATTTTTTCAAAACTTTATACAAAAAGTGAAAACAACACGTTATTAATTTCATGCATCTGAAGCGCTTTTCTGGATTTACCTTCATCAGGAGTGCTCAAGGCAGAATATTTAAAAGCCGAGGATGTATAAGAACCGAAACAGTTGAAGAGCTATATAACCAATAAGTACTTAAAAAATAGCCAAATCCATCTAAGGTCAACTTTGGCTGAGGGAGTTGAAACTTGAGCTTCTTTATAATTTTAGAATTTATAAAGCAACAATTTTAGAAAGGTTTGTTATTAATCAATTGTATGGAACTTTGGCAGAAGCTTTTTTATGATTTAAAGAGATAATGTTTAAAGCAGGGCTTCCAAAATTATTTTTAGCCAGCCAGACATTTTATATATTATCCAGATTTTAATCCATTAAGACAAAATAAACAAAAGGCAATTATGGTAATCAGTTGCCGAGTTGGCCATCCCAATGATTGACATTAAAAAAAACGATATTAAACTTTCTTTGATTCAAATTTGAAGTTCTGACGTAAACTGTTAAATTGGCAGTGCATCATTCGAAGTGTGCAACATCAGCGTACTTATATCTGCCTTAGACTCTTTATTTGTGCAAAATAACGTTGTCAAAAACTGTACTTTCGTTTTTGAAGTAATACCGGATGTTATCTTGACAATGGTAAAACATGGACCAGAGACAGATACGTAAATTCCGTATACGTTTACAATGTGTGAAATCTTTCTACGTTATTTCTTCAAGAATATATTCGAAATAAACGTGAGATAAAGGTATCAAAGACAATTTAAGCATTTTTTGAAGAAATTAGGATGCATAATTAAATGTCACACCTGCGCACATGCGCACACGTGTACTAGTTCAAACAGAGACATGTCTCTGGTTCAAACAATGTGGTTATGACGATTTTTCATTTTCACCTTTTTAATTTTTTCATCAAATCATATTTGTAAACGTATTTCTGATAATTTAAATCTTTTTGACTAAATTAATTAGATGCAAACCGCTGAAATGTAAGAAAATAACTTTGAATAGACCGATCAATGTCCGGTTCAAAATAGTTTACCTGTCACCTGAACAGGTAAATTTCAGCTGTTCGACAACTAATTAGCCTTGATTAAAATGAGAAGGTATTAAAGTAGGGGTTGTTTTGATAGTACTTAATGATCATGTCACTTTTATGACGGGTAATGTGTGGCTGTTAAAGGCAAAATGTTGGGTCAACAAGATCGCGAATTATGTTAAAATGACCGTCACTTAAGAAAGCCTTGAAAACTAAAAAGTAGATGACCGTTTTGGAAGCCTTGGTTTAAAGCAAAATTTTGAAAATATTTTTTTTTTCATTTTCAGTATTTTTCTGGTCTTAAATTTTTTTACATGATAAATTTGTAAACCTTCATGGGTTGTTATGAAACTTGGAATAGAAGCTAATCTTCAATATCAATAAATATCATATGAAGAAAAAAATGTAATTTAAAAAACAAAATCTATATTTTACTGATAAATTGACATATATATTAAAGTCAACACTACAATTTTAAACTGACTGCAGCAATCACAGGTAAGACACAGGGTTCTGAGTAACCGTTAATGAATTTGAAGTTTTAAAGTCTTATGAAACGAGTTTCTTGTAATGTTAATGTTATAGAAATATTGAACCAATGAATGCATATATACTAAACTAAGTCCTGCATGAATGTTTTTTTATATTTATTACAAACCTATAGCCTATTATCGACAAATAATATTTCATTCAGTGAGTGTTGATAGGAAGCCCATTAACTTTTGATTGTGTTGCCGAAGTTTACGGGTGGCGACCGAAGTTCTAATGAGAGGTCTTGTGGTTAAGGTCACTACATATGGGATAATATTGGTACCAGAAGACAATTATTCAATAGCAGTATATCTATGAAGATTTTGATAGTATAAAGGATTTTCTTTTATAAGAAAGTTCACATACACTTGTTTTATAGTAAAACTTAGCCATTCAAGTATATAAAACATATTCAACTTTTTTTTTAATTTGAAGTTTCATAGAATTTTATACTGTGGAATCATTATTATTCTTTGGATTCCAATTCTCATGGATTTCTTGGGTAAATTTGAACCACAAATTTAAATGTTTAAATGAGAAAAAAGTACAAATTTTATATATGTTTGACTGTAGATTTTGGCAAACCATGTCAAATATCCACAAAAATACAATTTTTCTTCAATCCCCAAAAATTGGTACCCACTAAAATAAATGAATCCATAGTATCCATAAATTATTTTATCTTACAGCCAAAGTTATAACTTTTAGTCAGTTGATAACATTACTACCTCAGGGAACAGATCCTGGTGCTGCATTACGATCACTTCATCAAGTAGCTGTACTAGTACAAGGTTGTTGGGTTGTCAAGAGGTGAGTATGAGATTACAAAGTTTGATGCATTGATTAATACAAACCATAAAACAAAGAACAACTAAAAACAATAGAATATTCAAATACTATGCAAAAATGAAGTTTATATCATCCTTTTTTCAAAAATATATCAAAAAGGTATGATTCATAGAGCTAATTTTCAAGTTATAGGTTTATCAAAATTGAAAGGTTTTGGAAAATACATTATACATGAAAATACAGTTGTCTGTGAATAGAAAGAAACCTAAAATAGAAGTTTGAAATGAGATTTGAGAAGATATCTCTTTTAATGTGCTTTAGAAAATAAAAATAAAAATTCGGGTCACAGGTCATGTTTTCTTGCTACAAAACAAAATAGGAAAATATACAAAGCATTCTTTTATAGAACAGAATTATCTTGAATTATCTCCACCTAGATTGCTAAGTTAAATAAATAGAACATACCAAAGAAAAAATTCAGTGTTGAATGAATGAATATTTTATTTGCAAAAGCATAAATAACATGCTATGGCAATAAATAGACAAGTATATACAGTATGACAAAACGACAGATAGCAGAGAACAATACATAATGTAATAAAGGTACAATTAATTCACAATACATCATCTTATGATTCGGATAATTACACAGTTTAATTGTAATTGATTAAGATTTTTCTTGAAGCAAATGAAAAAGTTTAAAGGTATTTTGCCAAGAACCATAATTTTTTGGCGAATATTCTAGTCTCACAGTTCTGTAGGCTGGACATACAAGAATGAAGTGGTACTCATTTTATATGAATTTGGTTAAATATACTTACCATGAAATTACATTTATATTATATAGAATATGTTTGCTTTCAGAACATGTTCTCATCCCAATTAACTAGGTGATTAAAAATTACATCCATAAGATGTACTCACCTACGTCATAATTTACCTGTGTAACACACAATATCTTCAGTTTTAATTTTTGCGTTCAAGTGAACGCATGTTTCTCGTAGACAAGGATTTTTAACAGTCTACTGTTGAAAATCCTTATGTTTTATAAAAAAACATTATTTGTTTTTTGGAATATCGTTTTACGATTATTTCTATGTTTATACAGCGCTTTTGTCAAGTTCTGATATACACGTCAACATTACGAGTCTGTAACAACGTCGACCTAGAAATTAACCTTTGTTAAGTCGCCATTTTCAAAATTTTAGTCCGGTGCGAGGAAAGGCAGAACTTTTCTGTCAAAATCGGACATGTTACATGAGTACTACTTTTATAAAAATAAACGTATGTTTAAATTCTTCTTCCACGCTGACCGAATTTTAGCTGTTTTGAGCAATCTACGAAACGGGTCAAGTGGAAAGTTCGGATGAGTTGATTGTTTAGTCTTTACACAAGACGGAGTAAACACAGCACTAAATTACAATCAGAATAGGTATTATGACCAGATCTGATTATTTTAATGTGGATAACGTCCTTATGGGAGCGTAGACCACTATTGTCACGAAGTTAGAATGAGTTGATTGTTTACAGTCTTTACACGAGACGGGAGTAAACACATCACTATTTTACAATCAGAATAGGTATTTTGACCAGATCTAATTATTTTAATGTGGATCTTTATGGAAGCATAGACCACTATTGTCACTAGAACCTTAAGTGATTCAATAAATTTCAATCAGAAATGGGAGTTTGCCCATAAAGGATTGTTTTTATTTGGATAACGTTCCATACAGGGAGCGTAGACCAAAATTGATACTACATTAAAAGTTGATAGATAAATCACAATCAGAATAGGGAATTTGCCCAGAACTGATTATGTTTATTTGGTTAACCTTCCATTTAGGGAACATATACCATATTTATTGAAAATAGAAAGTGGTTGATGCAACACAAATAAAATTAAAATTAGAATAGGGATTTTGCCAAAGTCTATCTGATTAATGTTGACATCGTTTCATCCAGGGAACGTAGGAACTAGAACAACATGCATGATTTTGGATCTGTATGTGCATGCATTGTACAGATTTGATCTTTCCTAAAAATCATAATTATTAATTGATCGCACATTGATATTTAGGAGCATAGATCATTCTTGGAAATACAACTTTTATAGTATTTGACGTACTGAAATAAAATTAAATCGAATCAGAATAGTGAATTTTAGTCCAGGTCTATCTGATTGTTGTAGAAATTGTTCCATCTAGATAACGTAGGTCTACCTTTATTGTATTTAAAACAACTTGCAAGCACAAGCAGGTTGCATGTTTAGTACAACACACATTTTGATCTTAGCTAATTTTTGGTTGCACATTGATTTTTGTGATGAACTAACATGCAGTTCAGATAATATATTGAAAGAGTGTCTGCAAAAGGTCAAGACAGATAAAAAACACTGAAATAGTACAGAGTTATTTAGTTCTTACAAATGTGTATGTAGTTTAAACATGTCAATACACAAAATTTATAATTATGTCCAGATTTAATCAGGACAGTAACTTCTTAGAAGCCTGAAATATTTTCTTGGAGCAGGAACCTGCTGTCAATTTTTCTTTACTGATAAATTATTCTCTTACAGTTGTTAAGAAACTACTAATATGTTGAGTCAGTAAGAATGGAACACTGTTCTAAAACCTGTTGATAGCTTGTGACAACTCATATTATAAATTTTTTATTTTCAAAGTTAGTTTATTACTGACAAGAAGAACATTAATATTATCAGTATGTGATGCTATGACCAATTGGTTGTTTGTGTGCATTAATGAAACACAGATTTTTATAAGTTTTTAAGTAAACATTAGGTTGTCTCTTGGGTTCAGACGAGTTTAGGGGATCATTGCCATTATGGTGCATTTCACAAAGACTCGATTCACGGAAATGGCTTATATTTTGATTACATAAATCAGAGTGTACATTGCCAATGCATATGACATATGTACTTGTGCTATTTTGCCTTGAATACACAAAAAGGTGATAACATAAGACTTAAGGGTATATTTTACCCTCACCATATGAGAATCACTGACAAATAATACATGTATCTTCCAATCATGAAAGGAAGAGATTTTTGGGAAGCTCTTTAAAAGATAGAAAATAGCCTTTACGTCTTGTTTTCAAAGCAATGACAACAAGTTTGACAAGATTCTGCTATCTTCATTGGGTCTGTTTTCAATCTTAATGTGAGATTGCTAGTTTAAACAGCTAATCAAACTGCTACAAGTTTTTCCTCGAGTTTATATTGAATTAGAAAGCTGAACTATAGAGGACTCAAAGATACTGATATATAAAAAAAAAAACAAAAAAAAACTAGATTATCATTAGGATTTGTTTTTTGAGAATTTAGATTAAGAATAAAGGCATATCATATAGATTTTGCACAAATTTGATATAAATAGTAAAATATTACTAAATAAATACAGAAAATATAAAGCATTGTTGATGCAAGATTCATTAAAAATACTAGACATTGACGTGGAGATTGGAGTATAGTTTACAAGATTGAGCAATGAACTATCTAATACATCTCTTTATATAAATCTTCTTTTTAGCCAGTCTTTACAAGATGCAGGAAAAAGAAGAGGTTTTTTGGGCTACATTGTACCAATAAACATATATATATTTCAATTGCTTCTCATATTTTAGCACCTATAGAAACAGTTAATCTAAAAGAAAAATACATGAAAAGCAGTTTATTTAAAAGACTGATTAATAGTTAGCAAATAACATTAAATAGTCTGTTAGTAAGTGGAAGTAAAATGCAATATGATAATTCCATGATTATAAGTGCAAGACATTTGTAAATATCTAAATTTAAAATGTCACTGTTTATTTTTATTTTTGTTCATTATTACACAAAAGAGTACAAAAATTCTAGTCTTGTCAAAGTCAAGTTGTGACTTATCTACATGCAGGAAGGTTTCCAAATAGATTGGGTGTGATTTAATCCCAAAATTGAGGGTATTCACTATTCAATTTTCATAATGACCAGACAATTATCTAACAACTTTTGCAGTTGCAGAAATAATATTAAATATCTGGCATAGAGTTAGTATTTTATGCAAGAATATAATAGACAAAATTGAAATGTGTTTATTAACAGTTAGTTTATATTTTTATTCAATATTGTTTTGAAAGATGTGATTATATAAATCTCATTCATTTTGTTTTGTCAAATCTGTGGACAAATGCAAAATTTTTCTGAGCTACTTTTAGTTTAACCAAATGACTGGGTTGAAGTCACAAAAATAATACCAAAAGTGTTTTGGTTAGTTTATATTGAACCATATCAGAATGTATAGAATTCAGATAAGGTGAACTAAGAGAGAAATGAAATGAGCATTTCTGATTGCGAAACCATTTCTTAAACAACTAAAAACACTTATCAAAAACAAGCTAGTTCAAGTGTTTTCCATATTGTCAAACATGTGTTTTCTTGTATAGAACTAAATTTGACATGTTGCATGATAGTATTTCTGATTGCGAAATATTTTCTGAAACAAATAAAAACAATTGTCAAGAGCAACAGTTTAAGAGTTGTTCAACTTCAATATGTCAAACTTTTATTTCTTTAAATTTGGATCTGTGCATGGCAATTTATAATTTAAAAACAATCGTGGCTTAAGGTTCACATTTTAGACAGTATACAATTGTGAGATATTAATTAGAAATGTCAGAACAACATTGACAGACAGATTTTTCATAGTTTGAGAAACTCATCTGTCGGCATTCTTTTAGGCTTATTAGGACAACAGTTTTGGCTTGCTCAACATCCAAATGCTCTGTAGAAGCATTATGTTACCATTGGAAAACACGTATACTAAAATATTTCCACTGATTTGTCCATTTTCTTTATTTTTACACTTAAGTTGTCTAATACGAAACACAAAGATAATGTTTGTTCATTGTTGGACTGGTAGACATTGTATTCAAAGGTCCTACCACTCATAGAAATTTCTATCAGACTTTAAAATTTAGTTGGTTAACTTAGGAAAATTATCATGTCATTCCTATAATGCAGGACTTCTCTTGACAAAAAATATTTTCTTTCTAAATCTATTAGATATTAACAAGAGTAGTATATCTTGAAGAATATGTACTCAAGGAGACTATAACTTCAAAAAAGTTTATAGATTGATCCAGATGTAGCATAATCATGAAACAACTTTCGTTTGAGTCTTTATTATACTTTGTTGGTAAGGACACTTATTTACAAAGTATATTTTAATTGATTATAATTCTTTGACAATTAAGCAGAAAAGAATTTATTTTGAAAGATATTGATAATGATCAGCAGTCATATATTCTCTGTTGTTATATAAAACTATAGAGAAAACAATGGAAAATTAGATAGAAGCTAATTGTTTTTAAATAAACTAAAGTTTTGAAAACTTATTTCAAAGTTGAAAAGTAAATGATACTAAGGTTGGATTACTTCTTGTCGATTTGTACAAGCAATAAGAACAACCTATTCACATGACAAATTAAGAAATAAATAAAATAAATGCTTATTTACTGTTGCAATAATATTACAACACATTTAACTCATAATGTAGGAGCTTTAATGAAATAATTTCTATACTGGCCTGCAGATTATTTATTCAAGTCTATTTTTGCAATGTTTTATTTATGCAATCTGCAGAGTTTTGCCATTGATACATATAGTTATACAGTATGGCTTTATTGTGTAATAAATTTAAATTTTGTAATTTCGGTTTTGACTAATTTCAGTATTTACAAAATTTAGTGGAGTTATTTTTTAACAATTTTGACATAGTTTTTTATATGTTGGAAATTGTATATGTGTGAGAGAATTTATCCTCCACCAAAATAAAACACTGCTTGTTAATCAGTGAATATTCTATATAATATAAATGTAATTTCATGGTAAGTATATTTAACCAAATTCATATAAAATGGTTATTTTTGAAATCTCAAGAAGAGATTTTATATGAATTTATAGGGTTAAATGTACTTACCACAATCCACCACCACCCCTAGTATAAATTCAGTTTTTTGTTTCACACAATTGTAATTATTCAATTAAACGACAAATTAAAACTGAAGATATGGTTTATTCCCGATTGTCCCACTTTTTAAAATTTTAGAGTTCTGATTGTCCCACATGAAAAGTTCTGATTGTCCCACATTATTTTATGAAGTAAAATGTTCTTAGATAAACAATGTAACTGTTGTTTGTTTTGCTAAATAAACAAGAATTAATTTATTGCACATTTAATATTAATTTTATAGAAGTATAAAAAAAATGTTTTTTAAATCATTAGATTAATGCATTTTTGATTAAAAAAATTATATTTCTGATTTATGAAATATATCTACAATGTAACGTTATTTATAAAACAAATTTCAATACCGTAATTTTAATTACATTTTCTCTATAAAGTTTTTGAATAAATAATGCATGCAATTTAAAAAAAAAAGGTATAAACTCATTTACATTCTACACTTTACACGAACTTGTTGATGGAGAGATTTTTCCAGAAGTCTTTACAATTTTACTAGGCTCCTGACTTGGGACAGACACATACAGAACGTGGCGGGGTTAAACTTATTTGAAGGCGCCAATCCTCCCACTAACCTGGGACAGTGTTGTAACAGTACAGCATAAGAATAAACTAAAAAAAATAAGTTGAAAAAGGCTTATCTCATCAGATGGGTACAGACAGAAATACATCTAACAAATCACAGAGTGGACATGGACGTGGACGGCTACTTATACATCCCCACAACAAAGACACTAAGTACAGATCTTAGAGTACTCGCAGTTACTGACAGCTAGTTCAAAGCCAATAAAAACTAATTAAAAAAATCATGCATCTAAGACTAAAATTATATGATTTCATATTACATTCCATGTTTGATGATACTTCAATTGTACCTACTACATGTATGTGCAAAATATAATATGTAAGTATTATTATTTGTTCATGGTTTTTTTCATATTTTATAAGTTACAGTGATTAGTAACCTGTAATTAACTGATACAGACTATAAAAACAAATTAATCACTATCAAAACAATTCCAAATTGTCCCACATTTAAACTTCCCAATTGTCCCACAAACATATTCCCAATTGTCCCACAAAATTTCATTACTTTTTATAAGACCGCAAAAAAATTTTTGTGGTCGTATATTGGTATGACGTTGGCGTCGTCGGCGTCGTCCAAAGACACATTGGTTTTCGCACTCTATCTTTGGTTTAAGTGAATGGATCTCTATGAAGTTTTACCACAAGGTTCAATACCACAAAAGGAAGGTTGGGATTGATTTTGGGGGTTATGGTACCAACAGTAAAGGAATTAGGGGCCAAAAATAAGCATTTTTGTAACTTCCAGACATAACTTGTGTGTTAGTGTATGGATCTCTCTGACATTGTACCACAAGGTTCCATATCACAAAAGGAATGCTGGGATTGATTTTGGGGGTAATTGCCTCAAAATTTTAAGAATTAGGGGCAAAAAACAAGCATTTTACTAGTTTCATGACAATAACTTGTGTGTAAGTGTATGGATCTTTCTGAAATTGTACTACAAGGTTCCATATCACAAAGGGAAAACTGGAATTGAGTTTGGGGGTAATTGCCGAAACATTTAGGAATTGGGGGCCAAAAAGGGGCCAAAAATAAGCATTTTTTTAGTTTCCAGACAATAACTTGTGTTCAAGTGTATAGATCTCTCTGAAATTGTACTGCAAGGTACCATACCACAAAGGGAAGGCTGGGATTGATGATGGGGGTAATTGCCTCAATATTTTAGGAATTAGGGGCAAAAAACAAGCATTTTTCTAGTTTCAGGACAATAACTTGTGTGTAAGTGTATGGATCTTTCTGAAATTGTACTACAAGGTTCCATATCACAAAGGGGAAGCTGAGTTTGAGTTTGGGGTTGATTGCCCTAAACGTTTAGGAATTTGGGGCCAAAAAGGGGCCAAAAAACACATTTTTCTAGTTTCCAGACAATAACTTGTGTTCAAGTGTATGGATCTCTCTGAAATTGTACTGCAAGGTACCATACCACAAAGGGAAGGCTGGGATTGAGTTTGGGGGTGATGAATCATAAGGGGGTTCAAAAAATTTGGGGGGAGGGGGTTTCCTTCTTTTTCTTTTTTTCCTTTTTTTTACTTTAAAATTTTCCATTTCAAGTTGATTATTTCTGATTTATATTTAGAAGCAAATAATAATGATATGGTAAGAGATACACACCAAACAGGATGTGTAAATTATTATATAATAAGTATTGTGCAATAGCAAGAAATTTTCAATTGCACAGTATTGCACAATAGCAAGAAATCTTCAATTGCACAGTATTGCGCAATAGCAAGAAATCTTCAATTGCACAGTATTGCGCAATAGCAAGAAATATCCAATAGCACAATATTGCGCAATAGCAAGAAATTGTCAATTGTACAGTATTGCGCAATAGCAAGAAATATTTCATTGCACAGTATTGTGCAAAAGAAGATACTTCATATAAATTGCTTATTTCTTGACCAATTTCAATGGGGTTTTATTCTTGAATTCTTGGGGTTCTTTAATATGCTGAATCTAACCATGTATTTAGTTTTTATACGACCGCAAAAAAATTTTTGTGGTTGTATATTGGTATGACATTGGCGTCGTCGTCGTCCGAAGACACATTGGTTTTCGCACTCTAACTTTAGTTTAAGTGAATGGATCTCTATGAAATTTTACCACAAGGTTCAATACCACAAAAGGAAGATTGGGATTGATTTTGGGGGTTATGGTACCAACAGTAAAGGAATTAGGGGCCAAAAAGGGGCCAAAAATAAGCATTTTTGTAACTTCCAGACATAACTTGTGTGTTAGTGTATGGATCTCTCTGACATTGTACCACAAGGTTCCATATCACAAAAGGAATGCCAAAAATTTACCCTTGAACTGAGGACAGTTTACAACTTGCACTTTCAAATATTCATTAAATAAACATTTGTCTAGATACACTAACTTTTTTCAAATAAATGCCACGAATACTGGAAGAAATAACCTATTTTTACTATTAGAACTATAGTTGTAGACCATGAGCAAAGGAAGTTAATTGTGGTCAGAACTCTATTTATAAACCAACTTTTTTTCATGTCTAATACAAATGCATACAAAAAAAGAAAAATGTGTATTGAAGAAGTTCACCAACGAATTTGCCGTCTGAAGAGTATTAAAAGAGTTACAACATATAACTAATGACACCACCCATGTACACAAATATCTTATCAGTAGAAGGCAATAAGAAAAGTTACCCTGGCAATGTTCATTTTATAAAGTTAAATAATTTCTTATTTGTTGAAAGATCTTTATGAAATGAAATTTAGCATAATGAACTAAGTTTGTAGATTTAAACACATTGTCAATTTAAAACATTTTTAAAGAAAAATGAATTATAAGAGAAATATCATAAAAAAAATTTAATGTTAAAAATTCCATTAAAAAAAGAAATCTTTTTTCAGCATAACTCTCTCATGTAAAATTCAACAAATGTATTACAAAGAAAATAATTTTTCAAAATCTTCTCAATTTCTTTCAACTTAAGCAAATATGATCTTTTTAAGACAACACCCTGTTAAATTATTTGTTTCTTTTTGTATGTATAGTAGCAAAAACTAGATGGGTTTTTGTTTTCAATAAAGAATACAAATTATACATTTAAAGTGGAAAAGGAATACATATTTATATTCAAGTTTCAATATGAAAAGTAAGAACTATTGTCGTGCATGTCTGTGATTTTTATACGACCGCAAAAATTCAAAATTTTTTGGTCGTATATTGGTATCACATTGTCGTCATCGTCAGCGTCGTCCGAAGACAGATGGTTTCCGGATAATAACTTAAGTATAAGTAAAAAGAAAGCAATAAAATTTTAACACAAGGTTTATAACCACTAAAGGAAGGTTGGGATTGATTTTGGGGGTTATGGTCCCAACTGTTTAGGAATAAGGGGCCAAAAAAGGGGCCCAAATAAGCATTTTTGTAGTTTCCAGACAATAACTTGTGTTAAAGTGTATGAATCTCTCTGAAATTATACCACAAGTTTCCATACAACAAAGGGATGGTTAGGATTGACTATGGGGGGTGATGGCTCAAACCATTTAGGAATTAGAGGCAAAAAAGGGGGGGGAAAACAAGTTTTTTTCTGGTTAAATGACAATTAAGACAATTTAAAGCAGTCTAAGGGAGGTAATCCAATCCCAATTTAAAACAACAATGTTTGATTACCTCCCTTACACTGCTTGTAAATTATGTATTAAGAAATGAGGATTGTCTTGAGGTGATTAGCTGTCAATTTATTTTTATACGACCGCAAAAATTGAAAATTTTTTGGTCGTATATTGGTATGACGTTGGCGTCGTCGTCGTCGTCGTCGTCGTTGTCGTCGTCGTCGTCGTCCGGCGTCGTCTGGCGTCGTCCGAAGACACATTGGTTTTCGCACTCTAACTTTAGTTTAAGTGAATGGATCTCCATGAAATTTTACCATAAGGTTCAATACCATGAAAGGAAGGTTGGGATTGATTTTGGGGGTTATGGTACCAACAGTTAAGGAATTAGGGGCCAAAAAGGGGCCAACAATAAGCATTTTTGTAACTTCCAGACAATAACTTGTGTGTAAGTGTATGGATCTCTCTGACATTGTACCACAAGGTTCCATATCACAAAGGGAAGGCTGTAATTGATTTTGGGGGTAATTGCCTCAAAATGTTAGGAATTAGGGGCCAAAAAAGGGGCAAAAAACAAGCATTTTTCTAGTTTCATGACAATAACTTGTGTGTAAGTGTTTGGATATTTCTGAAATTGTACTACAAGGTTCCATATCACAAAGGGAAAGCTGGAATTGAGTTTGGGGGTAATTGCCCAAAACGTTTAGGAATTGGGGGCCAAAAAGGGGCCAAAAATAAGCATTTTTCTAGTTTCCAGACAATAACTTGTGTTCAAGTGTATGGATCTCTCTGAAATTGTACTGCAAGGTACCATACCACAAAGGGAAGGCTGAGATTGAGTTTGGGGGTGATGAATCATAAGGGGGTTCAAAAAATTTTGGGGGGGGATTTTTTTTTTTCTTTTTTTTTTCTTTTTTTCCTTTTTTTTTTCTTTTAAAATTTTCCATTTTAAGTTGGTTATTTCTGATTTATATTTAAAAGCAAATAATAATGATATGGTAGGAGATACACACCAAACAGGATGTGTAAATTATTATATAATAAGTATTGTGCAATAGCAAGAAATTTTCAATTGCACAGTATTGCACAATAGCAAGAAATCTTCAATTGCACAGTATTGCACAATAGCAAGAAATCTTCAATTGCACAGTATTGCGCAATAGCAAGAAATATCCAATAGCACAATATTGCGCAATAGCAAGAAATTGTCAATTGTACAGTATTGCGCAATAGCAAGAAATAATCAATTGCACAGTATTGTGCAAAAGAAGATACTTCGTATAAATTGCTTATTTCTTGATCAATTTCAATGCGGTTTTATTCTTGAATTCTTGGGGTTCTTTAATATACTGAATCTAACCGTGTATTAAGTTTTTGGATTTTGGGCCCCGTTTTTAAATTGGTCCACATTGAGGTCCAAAGGGTCCAAAATTTAACTTTGTTTGATTTCATCAAAAATTGAATTATTGGGGTTCTTTGATATGCCGAATCTAACCGTGTATTTAGATTCTTAATTTTTGGTTCTGTTTTCAAATTGGTCTACATAGAGGTCCAAAGGGTCCAAAATTAAACTTAGTTTGATTTCAACAAAAATTGAATATACGGGGTTCTTTGATATGCTGAATCTAACCATGTATTTAGATTTTTGATTATGGGCCCAGTTTTCAAGTTGGTCCAAATCGGGGTCCAAAATTAAACTTTGTTTGATTTCAACAAAAATTGAATATATGGGGTTCTTTGATATGCTGAATCTAATCATGTATTTAGATTTTTGATTATGGGCCCAGTTTTCAAGTTGGTCCAAATCGGGGTCCAAAATTAAACTTTGTTTGATTTCAACAAAAATTGAATATATGGGGTTCTTTGATATGCTGAATCTAACCATGTATTTAGATTTTTGATTGGTGGGCCCTGTTATCAACTTTGTCCACATTGAGATCAAAAGGGTCCAAAATTAAACTTTGTTTGATTTCATCAAAAATTGAATATATGGGGTTCTTTGATATGCTGAATCTAACCATGTATTTAGATTTTTGATTATGGGCCCAGTTTTCAAGTTGGTCCAAATCGGGGTCCAAAATTAAACTTTGTTTGATTTCAACAAAAATTGAATATATGGGGTTTTTTGATATGCTGAATCTAACCATGTATTTAGATTTTTGATTATGGGCCCAGTTTTCAAGTTGGTCCAAATCGGGGTCCAAAATTAAACTTTGTTTGATTTCAACAAAAATTGAATATATGGGGTCCTGTAATATGCTGAATCTAACCGTGTATTAAGTTTTTGGATTTTGGGCCCCGTTTTTAAATTGGTCCACATTGAAGTCCAAAGGGTCCAAAATTTAACTTTGTTTGATTTCATCAAAAATTGAATTATTGGGGTTCTTTGATATGCCAAATCTAACCGTGTATTTAGATTCTTAATTTTTGGTTCCGTTTTCAAATTGGTCTACATAAAGGTCCAAAGGGTCCAAAATTAAACTTAGTTTGATTTTAACAAAAATTGAATTTTTAGGGTTCTTTGATATGCTGAATCTAAACATGTATTTAGATTTTTGATTATGGGCCCAGTTTTCAAGTTGGTCCAAATCGGGGTCCAAAATTAAACTTTGTTTGATTTCAACAAAAATTGAATATATGGGGTTCTTTGATATGCTGAATCTAACCATGTATTTAGATTTTTGATTTTTGGGCCCTGTTATCATTTTTGTCCACATTGAGATCAAAAGGGTCCAAAATTAAACTTTGTTTGATTTCATCAAAAATTGAATTCTTGGGGTTCTTTGATATGCTGAATCTAACCATGTATTTAGATTTTGGATATTGGACCATAATAGGTGAATGTCCAATTTAAAATTTTTAAGTTCTTAGACCACATTCATTCTGTGTCAGAAACCTATGCTGTGTCAAATATTTAATCACAATCCAAATTCAGAGCTGTATCAAGCTTGAATGTTGTGTCCATACTTGCCCCAACTGTTCAGGGTTCGACCTCTGCGGTCGTATCAAGCTGCGCCCTGCGGAGCATTTTATTAAAAGTTACTATTAATTAATATTAATTTTAGCCACGACTATGTATGTCATTTTATATTTTAAGACTTGTATGATGTATTTAAAAGGGTAATTATGGTTGCAAATTTTATTAAAATTTGAATTGAGATTATGACTATATCTTGAGGGAATGATTTTTTTTTTTTGGAATAAGGGAATGGGGGAGGTGAAAAAAAATTGGGTGGGTGGGGGGGGGGGATAAGAATTTGGGGGGACTATTTTTTCTTATTTCAGATTTCAGAAATTAACAAGAAAATTTTCTTCAAATATTTTTTTGGGGGGGTTAATATTCAACAGGATAGTGTATTGCACAAAAGCAAAAAAATGGGGTCAATTTTATTTGGGGGGGGGGGGGGGGAGGAAGGGGGTCAATTTGCAACAGCATAGTGTATTGCACAAAAGCAAAAAATTGAATATAAATTCAAATCATATAACCAATTTTTAAGTTCTTTGACTACAGTTATTCTGTGTCAGAAACCTATTATGTGTCAAATATTTAATTACAATCCAAATTCAAACCTGTATCAAGCCTGAAAATTGTGTCCATTTTGGCCCCAACTTTTCAGGGTTGGACATCTGCGGTCGTATCCAGCTGCGCTCAGCGAAGCAATTTATTTTCAATTAAAGTAAACAATGTCCTTTTCAAATTTCGTTCTGAAAATAAATTCAAAATTAAATTCAATTTCATTTAAGTGTAAGTAAATATATGCTTTGATAGACTGACTTATCCCAAACAAAACGTGGGATCAACCAATATGGAAATGATGGCTGTTTAATTTGAGAAAAAAAATAATTCTGTAAAGGATTGCCCGGCTTATACTGCAAGCAGTGTGCCTACAACTGTGGTCACTATATACTTAGTAAATCTAGAACATGTATCAAATGTAACTTGAAGGCATATTACATAATAGGGACAATGTTTATAATGTTTAGCAGCAAACTTCTTTAAATGATTTTAAATTATTGACATCAAAAATTCAATCTTCATCATGTTAAAAAATGGTAACTCCATGGCAAACGACCCAAAAATCATGCTTCACAAAAGATTCCGCTTCGTGAGGTAGTAAAGAAATTACGTTTTTATATTGGTATGACGTTGGCGTCGTCGTCGTCAGAAGACACATTAGTTTCGCACTATAACTTTAGTTTAAGTGAATGGATCTCTATGAAATTTTACCATAAGGTTCAATATTACAAAAGGAAGGTTGGGATTGATTTTGGGGGTTATGGTACCAACAGTTAAGGAATTAGGAGCCAAAAAGGGGCCAAAAATAAGCATTTTTGTAACTTCCAGACAATAACTTGTGTGTAAGTGTATGGATCTCTCTGACATTGTACCACAAGGTTCCATATCACAAAGGGAAGGCTGGAATTGATTTTGGGGGTAATTGCCTCAAAATTTTAGGAATTAGGGGCCAAAAAAGGGGCAAAAAACAAGCATTTTTCTAGTTTCATGACAATAACTTGTGTGTAAGTGTATGGATCTTTATTAAATTGTACTACAAGGTTCCATATCACAAAGGAAAAGCTGGAATTGAGTTTGGGGGTAATTGCCCATAACGTTTAGGAATAAGGGGCCAAAAATTAAGCATTTTTCTAGTTTCCAGACAATAACTTGTGTTCAAGTGTATGGATCTCTCTGAAATTGTACTGCAGGGTACCATATTTCAAAGAGAAGACTGGGATTGATTTTGGAGGTAATTTCCTCTAAATTTTAGGAATTAGGGGCAAAAAAGGGGCAAAAAAACAAGCATTTTTCTAGTTTCAGGACAATAACTTGTGTGTAAGTGTATTGATCTTTATGAAATTGTACTACAAGGTTCCATATCACAAAGGGAAAGCTGGGTTTGAGTTTGGGGGTAATTGCCCTAAAGTTTAGGAATTTGGGGCCAAAAAGGGGCCAAAAAACAAGCATTTTTCTAGTTTCCAGACAATGACTTGTGTTCAAGTGTATGGATCTCTCTAAAATTGTACTGCAAGGTACGATACCACAAAGGGAAGGCTGGGATTGAGTTTGGGGGTGATTAATCATAAGGGGTTCCTTTTTTTCTTTAAAATTTTCCATTTTAAATTGGTTATTTCTGATTTATATATAAAAGCAAATAATAATGATATGGTTTGAATAGGTAAATTAAAATTTTTTGAGTTCTTAGACCACATTCATTCTGTGTCAGAAACCTATGCTGTGTCAAATATTTAATCACAATCCAAATTCAGTGCTGTATCAAGCTTGAATGTTGTGTCCATACTTGCCCCAACTGTTCAGGGTTCGACCTCTGCGGTTGTATCAAGCTGCGCCCAGCGGAGCATTTTATTTTAACTTATGGAACTATATTTGTAGAACATGTGCAAAGGGAAATGATTGTTGTCTGAAACAAGGATCCAGAAACTTTTTGAGATGACATAAAAGTTGGGGTCCTTTGAAAAAAAACCACAATACAACTTTGTTGATGCCCTGAATCTAGCATTCATACTAGATTCAGGGCATCAACAAAGTTGTATTGTCAGTTTAACAGCATTTACATGCAATTTCTCATCGTTTTTCTAAAAACATTCGAGAACAATTTACAGAATGCAACAGTGTCAAATTGAAATGATCTTATTCACATTAAACTGTAAATTTCTTAGGTATCAACCACAATACTTTCGTTTTTGAGAAAAGAAATAAAATCTGGAAGTTTCAGTTAATCATGAATTATGAGTGGTTCCTGATTCATTTGCAGGTTTGTTCTGTTCATCAAATGTCAGCAAATCTGTGTATTTTTCAATTTTATTACTTGTGAAAGGGTTTGACTATTACTGATGATAGTTTCATTTGTTTAATTTGGCATGAAACCAGTTAGCATCTGAAGATTAGGTGTCTTATCTGGGAAGGCACTTGCGGGCATGCATATACATAATAAATTAAGCACATGCGAAAAATACTTTTTTCTATGTAATTTGATAAAAGTTTTAATTTTATTTTTAAATTTTTAAATCAAAATCGATGATTGTCTTTGCTGAATAGTTATTAAATAATGAAGTGGCTTGTCATGGAATTGCTTTATAATATTAGTTCTGAGGTACTACTGTCAGGAATGAGAACACAGGTAAAAAGTGATGAGTGATCATTAGGGAATATCTCCCGGAATGGCAGTTTTATTGCAGGAAAATGCATTGCAAAACCAAAATTAGTGCAAATCCCCAGATTTAAAAACTCAGTCTCAATGAAATGACCAAAATTATTTCTTAAAACAAAACAATTGTGACCAAAGTCCCAATGAACTATTTTGGTCATTTACATTTCAGATTTGATCATGTCCAGCAAATATCACCTGTTTCCTGACCCTTGGCCTGGAGCCTATAGTATGAAACAAAAACATGTCAATATTTACAAATGCCTGATTATAATGGGTTACAACTGTGATGCTATAACATGTTTGTTTCAATTGAGTATAGTTCTTAGACATGTCAAACTAAAATTGTAGATTGATATTTTATTCAAATTGTAGATTGATATTTTATTCATTTGTATTATTAAAGTGTAAAGAAGGGTGGCACAGAAATAGTTGGTTGGACTGTAAGATTTTCAAAAAAAAAAATTATTGTTCATCTATTTGGTCTGACAAGTGGAAGACTCATCATGCAACCATATCTTTATAGACTTCTTCGATAGATCATTTACAGATATAATTAACTTTTGATATATATTACAGTGAAATTCTGTACCCAAAGGAAGCCTGCAGTCCACATAGTGGTGTTTCTGGAGAACATCTGAGTAAGGGTAGAGATTATGTGGTAAGTTTTTTTGATAATGTTAAATAAAAAAACATGCCTTACTTTGACCTATAATGGTTTACTTTTATAAATTTTGACATGGATGGAGAGTTGTCTCATTGGCACTCATACCACATCTTCTTATATCTACTTACAATCACTTCACTATACTGATTCATGTAATAATTGGCAAAGTAATCCCAAGGTTTGATTGGGGTTTTGAAACATGGTCATGTGGACTTGTTGTGAATGTTTGGAAAACTATCACTATGGGACTCTGTTGGGGGATGTATAAATATGCAGCCCTGACAACTCATGTAGGGGAATGCCATGCTCTTTTCATGTTATGAAACCCTTTCAACAACTCTTTGTGGGGTATATACAGTGTTGTGCAATAAGTACAATCTGTAGTTAACAAGTGGATACAGTCTGGGGTTAAAGTTTTTTACACATTGATTACTTTGTCTAAACTTCATAGAATTTTATGAAACTAAGGTAGAAATTTTTTAAGTTAAGAGATAATTTCTGAAGCAAAATTTTGAAAATATTTTTATGCTCCCACCGTACGTCCCAAAATTGGTTTCTGTTCTCTAACTTTAGTTTGCCTCAACCAAATGTTATGAAACTTATACACAATGCTTATTACCACAAAACACAGATCAAGTTTGAATTTTGGTGGCATCACTTTTACCTTCTAGAGTTATGCCACTTTACAAATGATAAATTGCTGAATTTTTCGTTTCCGTTCTCTAACTTTAATTTGTTTCAACCAAATATTATGAAACTTGTACACAATTCTTATTACCACTAAACACAGATCAAGTTTCAATTTTGGGGGCGTCACTTTTACTGTTCTAGAGTTATGCCCCTTACAAATGGAAAAATTGCTGAATTTTTCGTTTCCGTTCTCTAACTTCAGTTTGCCTCAACCAAATGTTATGAAACTTATACACAATGCTTTTTACCACTAAACACAGATCAAGTTTCAATTTTGGGGGCGTCATTTTTACCGTTCTAGAGTTATGCCCCTTTACAAATAGAAAACTTCCTGAAATATTTTTTTCTGTTAACTTTAGTTTGGCTCAACCAAATGTTATGAAACATTTGCACAATGCAAGTGGGGGCATCATCTGTGTCCCATGGACACATTCCCCATTTAATTTTTCATTTTTCAGTATTTTACTGACAGATGGGCTTAGTTTTTTGCGATAATATTTACAGACAATATTGGATAACATTTTTTTGACTTTATAAATGGACTGTTATGAAACTTTGACAGAAGCTAATCTTCAAGATAAAAATATAGCATTAAAAGGAAAAGAATTGTTTTTTTAATTTTGTATTTTTGTGCCCTTAATAAAAAACATTTTCATAGAAAGATACAAGTAGGCACAACTGTGCACTGCAAAAATGATCAGCAATACAAGATTTATAAAAATAGATTAACTGATTGCAATAAAGCTAAAATTTATTTCAAAATGACATATCTTTACCAGTTGATTGATTTAGGCTCTTAGGTGCCTCTTGTTTTTAATAGAAATTGTGTCCAAAACAAACTTACATTTGGGTCCAAAATCACTTGTCCCAAGTTTTGATGGCTGCCTTGAACTGTCCCACTAGTTTCAAGATTGGCTGGATCACAGCTCTGACAAGGCTTTATTTTAGCTATAAACAGCAAACCTAGTTTTTTTGTCGAGCCTGCGACTTTTGTCGCAGAAAGCTCGACATAGGGATAGTGATCCGGCAGCGGCGGCGGCGGCGTTAGCTAACTTCTTAAAAGCTTTATATTTTAGAAGGTGGAAGGTCTGGATGCTTCATACTTTGTATATGGATGCCTCATGTTACGAAGTTTCCGTCAGTCACATGTCAAATGTCCTTGACCTCATTTTCATGGTTCAGTGACTACTTGAAAAAAAAGTTCAGATTTTTTGTAATGTTAGATTCTCTCTTATTATAAGTAATAGGATAACTATATTTGGTATGTGCGTACCTTGCAAGGTCCTCATGCCTGTCAGACAGTTTTCACTTGACCTCGACCTCATTTCATGGATCAGTGAACAAGGTTAAGTTTTGGTGGTCAAGTCCATATCTCAGATACTATAAGCAATAGGTCTAGTATATTCGGTGTATGGAAGGACTGTAAGGTGTACATGTCCAACTGACAGGTGTCATCTGACCTTGACCTCATTTTCATGGTTCAGTGGTTATAGTTAAGTTTTTGTGTTTTGGTCTGTTTTTCTTATACTGTATGCCATAGGTCTACTATATTTGGTGTATGGAATGATTGTAAGGTGTACATGTCTAGCGGGCAGGTGTCATTTGACCTTGACCTCATTTTCATGGTTCAGTGGTCAAAGTTAAGTTTTTGAGTTTTGGTCTTTTTTTCTAATACTATATGCAATAGTTCAACTATATTTGGTATGTGCGTACCTTGCAAGGTCCTCATGCCCGTCAGACAGTTTTCACTTGACCTCGACCTCATTTCATGGATCAATGAACAAGGTTAAGTTTTGGTGGTCAAGTCCATATCTCAGATACTATAAGCAATAGGTCTAGTATATTTGGTGTATGGAAGGACTGTAAGGTGTACATGTCCAACTGGCAGGTGTCATCTGACCTTGACCTCATTTTCATGGTTCAGTGGTTATAGTTAAGTTTTTGTGTTTTGGTCTGTTTTTCTTATACTATATGCAATAGTTCAACTATATTTGGTGTATGGAAATATTTTATGATCTATTTGGCAGTCACGCAGGTTTTATTTGACCTTGACCTCATTTTCAAGGTTCATTGCTCAGTGTTAAGTTTTTGTGTTTTGGTCTGTTTTTCTTAAACTATAAGCAATAGGTCAACTCTATTTGTTGTATGGAAGAATTGTTAGCTGTACATGCCTGCCTAGCATGGTTCATCTGACCTTGACCTCATTTTCATGGTTCATTGGTCAATGTTTAGTTTACTTGGTTAATATTAAGTTTATGTGACAGTTGTAATAAAGCTTTATATTTAGGACTATCAACATAATATCAATGATTAGTAAAGAAGGCGAGACATTTCAGCGTGTGCACTCTTGTTTTAAACTGGGGATTCCTTTTCCATGCTTGGCGCTAAATTAATTCATTTGCCTTTGAATTATATGCCTAAGCAGTAGATTTCACGTTCTTGAATTTAAAGCATGTTTGTTTTTCTTTGTATATACATTCAAATTCACATAACCTATTTGATGACATTAGTGATTTCTTCACGAAATTTGGATTTTAATTATTTAGTTACGTCGCAAAAATTATGCATAAAAACATTTGGATGCATTTAAATCTGTCTTTAATCCTGTATAGCATGCCCTTAAACTAACCTTATATTGGCAAAAATATATTTTCACATTTTTGTCTTCAATCATCCTTGAAATTGCTCATTTCATCAAATTTATATACTTAAAATTTATTTCATCTGCCACTTTCATATGCATTCGCATTTACTGAAGGTAGTTTAGTACACTTTAGGCTAGATTATTAATCTGTTTGCTAGCTAGTGAACATCGATTTAGGAATATAGGGTCAAGCTGGTGAACCTAGATTCAGGAAAAAATAGTATGAAGCTAGTTGACCTAGGTTATCCTGGTACAGAGATGTAAAAATCATTTCAAAGAATTTTTTTTATTTTAACAAAATGAATGATTTATTGAACAGATGTGGAGATTTACTCAGTCTAGAGTGGTTACAAGAAAAGATATAGCATCTGTAGTCAAGGTAAAATAAATTATTGATAAAAAATATAAAAACAAGACATATCATAACACTAAAGTTTTAAAAGAAGCAAATGTACAAAGAAGAAAAGTTTAGGTTTAACTTTTATTCAAACATTGAGGTCTGAAATTTTTTCTCCAAATCAATGTTATAAAAAAAATCTGTAAATTTAGAAATTATTAATGCATGCATTTATTAATGCAAATCCTTGACATCTGAAAAAAATACGAAATCTAATTAATGCTATTTCAAAAATTATATGGAGGAAAGTCAGTACTGAAATGACGAATGCGAATTTTTATTATTACAAACCTGATACAGTCGCATTTTTTACAATGATAAATACTTTGCAATGATTTCTGAATTTACAGTAACTAATCTCAGTATTTGAAAAAAAAAATATACATGTAAGTTATACAATTATGGATGAAACAAAACTAATAGTATAATGAAATGATTTGGGCATTCAATAATTAATGGGTTTTTCGGAGTGGTTTTTTAGGGGGAAAGGGGGAGGGTATTTTGGCCATTCTTATATTTTCCCAAATTGTTAGTAGTTATTTTGTTTAACTTATATCCTACCATTTTCTAAAAAGTTGCCAGCAGAAGATGTGAAGGACATTCTTGAACAGATGTCACGTATCAGAGCCAACTGTGGATGGGAATTCTTGTTCCAGTATGATCATGATTTTGTTTCAAGGTAAGAGTTTTACTTTATTGCAATCCAAGCAAAAATGCTTATACGGGGGAGGGGAGGGGGGTTTGCAGACAGGTCAGTGTCACCTTATTGTTTTAGATAAACTTTGTCCCCTTTATTCAATTTTATTGTTTAGATTTGAGTGTTTGAATTTAGCATGAGATGTTCTGTTCACATGGAAAATTGAATTCTTGTTATTTTTTGTTGAAGTGTGGTGCCTTGGAACATCTAAGGACAAACATTGCACAAGTTATCCATTGAATGGGTTATTGTTGTTGCTAATGTTGATGTTAAAACATCTAACTTAATCATTTTGGTGAAAAAATATGCAAATCCTCAATATTTATTAAAGTGATTTATTGAAGGTATAAAAAAGAGAATTGTTCATGTGGAAAAGGTGGTTTGGATAATAAAAACTCAGTTTTAATTACCGGTAGTAAAACATCTTTCATACATAAACTGTTAGTGTATTAATTGTTATCTCTTAATTATGCCCCTACTTTGATGGAGGGTTTGGTGACTGGTTCGTGTCTGTCCATCCATCAGTCCCATGAAAATTTTTTCACACTTTTCTTTGAAACAGAGCAATACTTCATACTTGTTTTCTTTACGTGTTAAATTGAATAAAAGTGCAATGAAAATTAAGGCAATAGAAACATGATCTACTCACATGAGCTTTTTTATATTAGTTTTTATATACAGCTCTTTCTGCTCACATAAACAGTTTTATATAAGTTTTTATTTACAGCTCATTGCAACAAGTTGAATAGAATTTGTGAATGGTACGCATATATATAATAAACAAAAAATGAAATGGGGGTACAGATGTAGGTAAAATAATATTTATTCAATTTGTATACTGTGGATTCATTTATTTTCGTGGGTATCAATTTTCGTGGATAGAGAAAAAAAGACGTTTCTTGGTATACGTAAATTCGTTGATCGCTGATAACAAAAAAAAAAAAAAATCCGATACGTAATTCGTGGATTTCTTTTTAATTTAGGAGATCATATACCCTCCTTGGTTTGATCAATAATAAAACAAACAAAAAAGAAAGAATTCATTGAAAAGGTTTTGAATTGTCAAAATCCTCGCTTGGTCATTCTAGGTTAAAGTGTTCATTGAAAACTTCTATTACAATAATGGACAGAGACAACTAATTATTTGTTTGTTTTACAATTTATAAATTCTTGTCGGAATTTTATAAGGCATTTAAAACTCTATGATCGAAAGCTCATTTCCCTAATCACGATATAATATATAAGTATAAGTAAAAGGTGTGAAAATAAATGTTCATGTCATAAATAATATTACCTACGGGCAATATCCCTGCACCGTTAATCCTATTGATTTTTAATCACCAGTAAACCAAACTATGACACGGTAATTAACAACTTGCATTTATTTTCCATGAACAGTTTAAATCAATTTTAAAAAGTAAATTGTCACTGATATTCGATATATTTATTATTGATTTAATCAAAATACTTGTATCTTCTTTCAAGAAAAACACGTGTTATGTTACAATGTTTATCGTTAGTCAACACTATACTAGAACTGCATAACATAACTGGAAATAAACATCCGACTCCATACACATTTCTCGGGATTATTCTTCGTTGAATTCTTAAATTCGTGGTTCGCTGTGACCCACGAAACCCACGAAAATTGGTATACCACGAATAAAAATGAATCCACAGTACCTGACATTCGAGTCATTTTGTATGGTTATGATATTACAGGAATCCTGAAATAGTACACAGACAAAAAGCATTCTGGGATTCAAAGTATCAGATTTTATGCAAACAGTTGAAAATTCCAAAGGAACATGAAAAGAAATTTAAAGATAAAGGTAACAGTTATGTAACAAAACAGGGATCACCACTGGCTATTTTATGGTGCAGCTCCTCCACCCTTAGGTACAAGTTATGTAACAAAACAGGGATCACCACTGGCTATTTTATGATGCAGCTCCTCCACCCTTAGGTACAAGTTATGTAATGAAACAGGGATCACCACTGGCTATTTTATGGTGCAGCTCCTCCTCCCTTAGGTACAAGTTATGTAACAAAACAGGGATCACCACTGGCTATTTTATGGTGCAGCTCCTCCACTCTTAGGTACAAGTTATGTAATGAAACAGGGATCACCACTGGCTATTTTAGGGTGCAGCTCCTCCACCCTTAGGTACAAGTTATGTAATGAAACAGGGATCACCACTTGCTATTTTATAGTGCAGCTCCTCCACCCTTAGGTACAAGTTATGTAATGAAACGGGGATCACCACTGGCTATTTTATGGTGCTGCTCCTCCATCCTTAGGTACAAGTTATGTAATGAAACAGGGATCAACACTGGCTATTTTATTGTGCTGCTCCTCCACCCTTGGGTACAAGTTATGTAATGAAACAGGGATCACCACTGGCTATTTTATTGTGCTGCTCCTCCACCCTTAGGTACAAGTTATGTAATGAAACAGGGATCACCACTGGCTATTTTATTGTGCTGCTCCTCCACCCTTAGGTACAAGTTATGTAATGAAACAGGGATCACCACTGGCTATTTTATGGTGCTGCTCCTCCACCCTTGGGTACAAGTTATGTAATGAAACAGGGATCACCACTGGCGATTTTATGGTGCTTTTCCTCCACCCTTAGGTACAAGTTATGTAATGAAACAGGGATCACCACTGGCTATTTTATTGTGCTGCTCCTCCACCCTTGGGTACAAGTTATGTAATGAAACAGGGATCACCACTGGCTTGATCACCATTTCTTGAATTTTCATCATTAGTCTGGATTTTCTGACAGAATAAACCCTGAGTTTTCAGATAAATATTAGATAAGCTTGAAAATTAATTCTTATTAAGTATTATTTTAAAATAATATATTTAATTTTCTTTTTTTTTTGTCATAAAAGTTAGAAACCTACAGTCATATGTATGTAAGAGTTTTTTAAAAGGTACAATTTATAAAGTTTATAGATATTTTTCAATAGTTAGTAAAATTAATTTTTAAACTTTACCCTTTACTTTTACCAAAATATGGCCTTGAATTTCAACTTTATCATATATTATTAAAAAAGGTCACAATTTGATTTTTAAATGGAAGCTGCTAAGTGAAACAAATCTCTTCATGAAAGTACATTATAGGCTTCAAAGTCAGCAAATTTTTGAGATGTTGTCGAAAAAGTTGGTGTTGTGCATTTTCAGGACTTTTAACAAACCTTTAGAAAAACCTTGGCAGCAGCCTATAATCTAAAATGTTTTGTAACCAAAAGGTGCCAAGGTTTATATTAAATCCCTAGATACAATGTCTTCTGGATTGGGGGCTGTGGCCAAAGTTTAAATTTCCAAAAACTGTTAAAAATTATGGAAAAATTGGACCAAACCTGATATTACAACACAAATAATGCATAATTAATAGGCATAACTTTGCAGTTCACAATGTGATGTGGCAAAAATAAGTTATTTTGTATTAATATTTATTTCTCTTTTGGTTGCAGCCTGTTATCTACCGGTATTTCTTGCCTGAAGAGATACTTCTCGTATCACACTGAAAAATGTGTTAATTTAATTGGCCTATCAATCATGAGATGATATTTCGACATTTCCATTGGCTATTTATTAGGTTATTGATGACTTCAAAGGTTAAGACAACGTACATTTCCTCCATGGCAACTGACATGTGATTTCTTCAATAAGATACAAAACACTCACACTTTTCCCCTTGAAAATATTCTTTTTGTCAATTTTTTTACATTCTGGAGCGTACAAAAAGTTTTAAAATGTCTGATGTTAAAGTTCGACACCAGAACAGGACATATGACGTCATACTGGTATGTGCAAAAGACTAGATAAATGTTTCGTGGATTTTTTTATTTAGGATAATGAGTGTTAACCACAAAAGAAATAAGTTTTACAACTAGTGAGAATTGGATATGGCTTGATATAGTATAACAAATAATTGGTTAGGCAAAACTGAAAGTTTAGTGACATTTGACATTGACATACAATAAGGTCAATTTATCTACTGAAAGTATCGCTCATCTGTCTGAAGAACTCCAGTAACAAATGTAACTATACACAGTTATTGCTGTAGTGTTTAGCTCACCTGGACTAAGCATTGGAGTATCTAGTTTGAAAAATGTATAGGATAGAACATAGTGCTAAAATGCAAGATTTGTCTTTTCTTGAAAACCACTTGATAGATAAAGAAAATCTGACACGAGCAAAAATGTTGAGAATAATATGATCTACCTACTGTTCATTCAAATCAAAACTGTCAGTTAACTTCTTATAGGAGTTATTACCCTTATACTCCTCAGGAACTTTTTTATTGGAAACATCATAATTTTGATTTGTATCCAACTATTAAGAATGTTGATTTGGGAAAAAAAAGTTATTTAATGCAAAATATATTTCAATCTGCATTTCTAGATTCAGGTATACCTGGTTTGGATAAACCCACAAGGAGAAGGAGAAATTCCTCAAAGGGATCACCAAGGAGGAAAAGAACATTGAGTGGCCGTTCTGTGTCAGATCACAGTGACATTGAACCAGATATCAAAATGGACTCTGAAAATAGTGCAGATGAAGATATTCCTACTCATCATGAACCAATGGAAGTAGCTGAAGTAAATCATGTGACTAATGGATCAAATATTCTGTCATTAACTAATTGTGATAAAACAATTTCTAAGCCAGTGTCTAAAAAATTTGATGAAAAGAGGACCGAGTTATTGAATTTTGTGTGTGAAAAACTACAAAGTAGATTTATTTTAAGTATAAATGAATTAAGACGTTTGTTAAATATACGATTGACACAATGTTCAGCTGGATATATATTAAACTGTGAAATTACTGATCAAATGTTAGAGGAAGCTTTAGATGAATCGGGTAGTCTAAAATTAGAAAATATGGTTAGTATTAAAACTTAACTTTTCATTCTACCAAGGTTCAGATGAATTTGATGTTAAGTGTGAGTAACACTAAAGTAGATGCATAACTCAGTAGAACAAATTATATTTATCATTTAAACTAAAGTAGATACATAACTCAGTAGAACAAATTGTATGTATCATTTACACTAAAGTAGATACATAACTCAGTAGAACAAATTATATGTAACATTTAAACTAAAGTAGATACATAACTCAGTAGAACAAATTATATGTATCATTTAAACTAAAGTAGATACATAACTCAGTAGAACAAATTATATTTATCATTTAAACTAAAGTAGATACATAACTCAGTAGAACAAATTATATGTATCATTTACACTAAAGTAGATACATAACTCAGTAGAACAAATTATATTTATCATTTAAACTAAAGTAGATACATAACTCAGTAGAACAAATTATATGTATCATTTACACTAAAGTAGATACATAACTCAGTAGAACAAATTATATTTATCATTTAAACTAAAGTAGATACATAACTCAGTAGAACAAATTATATGTATCATTTACACTAAAGTAGATACATAACTCAGTAGAACAAATTATATTTATCATTTAAACTAAAGTAGATACATAACTCAGTAGAACAAATTATATGTATCATTTACACTAAAGTAGATACATAACTCAGTAGAACAAATTATATGTATCATTTACACTAAAGTAGATACATAACTCAGTAGAACAAATTATATGTATCATTTACACTAAAGTAGATACATAACTCAGTAGAACAAATTATATTTATCATTTACACTAAAGTAGATACATAACTCAGTAGAACAAATTATATGTATCATTTACACTAAAGTAGATGCATAACTCAGTAGAACAAATTATATTTATCGTATTGTTATGCGTTTACTTTTCTACATTGGCTAGAGGTATAGGGGGAGGGTTGAGATCTCATAAACATGTTTAACCTCGCCGCATTTTTGCGCCTGTCCCAAGTCAGGAGCCTCTAGCCTTTGTTAGTCTTGTATTATTTTTAATTTTAGTTTCTTGTGTACAATTTGGAGTTTAGTATGGCGTTCATTATCACTGAACTAGTATATATATTTGTTTAGGGGCCAGCTGAAGGACGCCTCCGGGTGCGGGAATTTCTCGCTGCATTGAAGACCTGTTGGTGACCTTCTGCTGTTGTCTGTTCTATGGTCGGGTTGTTGTCTCTTTGACACATTCCCCATTTCCATTCTCAATTTTATCATCATGATCATTTACACTAAAGTAGATACATAACTCAGTAGAACAAATTATATGTATCATTTACACTAAAGTAGACACATAACTCAGTAGAACAAATTATATGTATCATTTACACTAAAGTATGTCAAAATTGAAAATCAACATCATATTCCCAATGAACACAGCCCTACTAAATGAAACCCAAGTATATTTTGTTTAAAATTTGTATTTGTTAATACCGGTACATACAATCTCAAAGCATAATCACAGAGTATCTTCCATGTAAATCTCCAGTCTGGAGGTCAAAAATAAAATCTTAGGATTTTTTAGAGAATCCATGAGTTTTATGAAAAATACATGCTTGTCCGAAAATCTCAAGCGGAATGTTTTAGCAGTAAATATTCATTTGTAAACACAGAAGTTTGTCACTTGTGCAGACAATTTTGACGTTTTTGTTGTAGATTATTCAATGATGATCATGATCTACACTGCAAAGAGACTGTCCCCCAAAACATTTATCTAACCTTAGATTAGACTGTATAAGCAATATCCATTTTATTGTTTTGAATTTTGTTTGTGTATTTTTTCTTTAAATATAATGTATGTTTTCTCTTTTCTTGATTTTAGTGGCCACCAGGGACACCAGAAGAATCACTATATGCCTTAACTTTTACAAGTGATAAACTGGATCCAGTAAGTAGGATTGTTTTGGCAAAACAGTTACAAACAAAACATGTTACAAAAACAAATGAAAAACATTAAGAACAAATGAAAGATATAACAAAGATACATATATTTGTAAGAGTCAAATCTATCTCCAGTCTTAAATCTGTGTCCAGTGGCATCATAACACTCAAATCTATGGCCCTATGTCCAGCCTCAAATATGTGTCTTATGATTTCATTAAACTCAAATCAGTGGCCCTTTGGTTATTCAAATCTGTGTCCTTTTTACATCGCGATGACCTTGAGGTCATCCCGATGTATTGCCATCGCCTAGATTTCCATTATGTAAATTAGTTTTGGGTTTGTAACCGATCTATAAACATGATAAGTACGCGCACATAAACGAGTGCAAAATAACATTCCTTAACGTTTGATATAAATACATCTCTTCAATGAATACTGATAAAAATATTTTTGTTTACAACATAAATTAATAATATGAAAATGTTTTGTAGTTAGATATATATATATAAGTAAAAAATCATTGATAATATCAATGCACACGTACCGAAAAATTGTGTTAAAGCATGCGGAAGAATATCTCAAAGAACGTTTTGTGAAAATACCGTCAAGGACCGGTAACTCTGTAATTGATTTTGCGGGAAAATATGAATGCCTACTCGTATCCAATCTTAGAAAAATCGAAGTTTTACAGAAAAGTGTCCACCATGCACTTGCATTGCACTATTTTTAGAAGAGTAGAATAGAATGATATACAAATGGATTCAAATCATATATATATGTAACTGTTATTTTAATATAATATAAACAACAACTCAGTGTATACTGATTTGTATCACTACAATATAATAGTTATTACGGTGAAGTTGAATTTCCTGTCATTTATTCATCATCCACGCACGAACTTGTCTCAGAAAAAAATATATCTCTGTACATTAACCTCAGTTTTAGGTAAAGAGATATGCTGTTTTTTTCTGAGACAAGTGCTTTTGACCATCCTCAAGAACTTGTGGTCATCCGATGTTCAGTACTTCAGTACTTTGATTATAAGGTTGACTTTCAGTAATGTGACGTGACTTTGGACAGGCACATATAAAATGTGGTGGGGTTAAAGCAGGGGAAAAGGGTTAATGTGCAGAGAGCATGGCACACACTACTTAAGGCTTCAGATTTTATGTCCCCGTTCTTGCTGCATATTTTTACATCCTGGACAACCATATGTATGCCCTACTTTGCCAAGGGTTTTACTGCAGTTGAAGAAAGACCTAAATTCACCATATTTCTATACCCCTGTTGCACTTGGGGTGATATATAAATAGGGATACTCATAAACAAATATTTATATATATGTACCTAAAGGGTTGTTGTATTTGAACAGAAACATTGGTACTGTGCATAACCAAAACTAATGAATTCACCTTTGAGGTATTTTGAAGTTTTCTAATTTGTTTTGAAATTGGTTTGAGATATTGACACAATATGTGGTATATTGTCATTTTACTATGCTTTTGATATATGAATTTGATTTTATCATGGTTGACCTGTTTTTCACAAAACTTTCTTTTCTCATGAATTGAAAGAGATAATCAGTTTTCTACACTGTTTTGTAATTTGTAGAGGTATTAACAGAGTATACACTGTTTTGTAATTTGTAGAGGTATTAACAGTTTCTATACGGTTTTGTAATTTGTAGAGGTATTAACAGAGTATATACTGTTTTTAATTTGTAGAGGTATTAAGTTTCTTTACCGTTTTGTAATTTGTAGAGGTATTAACAGAGTATATACTGTTTGTAATTATACCACCGCTTTAAAAAAGTGGGGGATACTGTTTAACCTCTATCTGTCTGTCCATCCATCCATCCATCTGTCCGTCTATCTATCCGTCCGTCTAGTGAATATTTTTCGTTGCATCTTTCTCAGGAACTACACTACAAGGATTTCTGAAATTTGGTTTCCAGGGTTTATATAAGTCAGCTATACCATGTGATGCGTTTTCAGATTCATCACTCAACAACTTCCTGTTTACCGTCAAGTATTTGGGCAGGGGTATCATCAGTGAGCAGTAGCTCACAGTTTCACTTGTTTGTAGAGGTATTAACAGTTTCTATACTGTTTTGTAATTTGAAGAGGTTTTATCAGTTTCAATACTGTTTTGTAGTTTGTAGAAGTTTCCAGAGTTTCAATACTGTTTTGTAGTTTGTAGAGGTATTAACAGTTTCTATACTGTTTTGTAATATAAAGAGGTATTAACAGTTTCTATACTGTTTTGTAATTTGTAGAGGTATTAACAGTTTCTATACTGTTTTGTAATATGAAAGAGGTATTAACAGTTTCTATACTGTTTTGTAATTTGTAGAGGTATTAACAGTTTCTTTACTGTTTTGTAATATGAAAGAGGTATTAACAGTTTCTATAGTAGAGGTATTAACAGTTTCTATGCTGTTTTGTAATATGAAGAGGTATTAACAGTTTCTATACTGTTTTGTAATATGAAAGAGGTATTAATCTAATTTTATTATATACAGGCCATCAAATCAGAATTTTTGTTTTTTGTATTTCAAGTTTTCATAGAGTTATCTGTCTTTGTACTTAAAAAAACATGAAGAATGAGTGCTTTAGACATTGCTGGTATGAGACATGTACATGTATGCTTAAACAATTGTTTGGATCTTCTTTTTTTAGGTTAGAAAAGTTCTCCTGTCAATGTTTACAACAACTTACAAGACAACACGAAAAAATTTTATAAAAAAAGTTAAAGAAGAGACAGATATTGATTTAACAGAAAATGATGCAAAACTTTTATTAAGTGTAAGTATTGCAGTTTTGGATTAAAATTCACAACATCTACAAATAAGTCAACATAACCATAATTAGTGATCCATTTTTTAAACGCGCGTTTTACAGGACGTATTATGGTATACCTCTGTCCGTCGTCAACATGTGGGACAATAACTCAAAACCGCTTTAACCAATTTGCATGAAACTTTGGTCAATTGTTTATATCTATTGACGTGAGCTCCCTTTCGATTTTTATAGATTTTGGATTTTACGTTTCCGAGTTCCATTGAGCAGTTTTTATGGAACTTTGGTGACTGTTTTATATCTATTAAAATAACCTCCCTTTAGTTTTTTATAAATTTCTGATATGACATTGAGGATTTATGGAACTTTATTAGTCCCCTACCGAGGAAGTCGAAGGGGACTTTAGGTTTGCACTCCGTCCGTCTGTCTGTCTGTCTGTCTGTCTGTCCATCCGTCAGTCTGGCAAATCAGTTTTCAACATTTTTTTTCTTCGTGCTTGAAGATATTGATTTGATATTTGGTATATTGACTTATCATGACAAGTTACAGATCAAGTTTGAATTTTGTTCCGGTCTGATGATTTTGTGCAGAGTTATGGTCCTTGGACTTAGAAAATTCACTCAAATATTCAGTTTTCCTCACTTTTTTTCATCATGCTTGAAGATATTGAGTTAATAATTGGTGCATTGTTTTCTCATGACAAGTTACAGATCAAGTTCGAATTTTGTTCCCGTCTGATGATTTTGTGCAGAGTTATGGTTTTTGGACTTGGAAAATTCACTTAAATAATCAGTTTTCCACACTTTTTGTCATCATGCTTGAAGATATTGACTTGATATTTGTTATATAGTTTACACTATGACAAGTTATAGATCAAGTTAGCATATTGTTCCAGTACAACTAATTTTTAACCGGTGGGGGACTATGTATTGCCATGCAATACTCTCAGAATGCTTGTTCTTGTTAAAGCGACAGGCGTATCTTGCGTTCATGGCGCAGCTCTTATTATAGGTTTTATTGCTCTTAAACAACTACAAATATTGATTCGTATATTTTAACTTATTTGATTCGTTCAGGGATAGTCACATGTTAAACTATATTTTCGAAGGTAGAGAGAAAACGGCGAATAGCAAAAAGCATATTGCACAGCGAAAAGCATATTGCACGGTTATTTTTAGAATATCTAAAAACCGATATACTTTGTGACGTCATGTAATGAATTTCATGATATTGTTAAAAGATTTATGAAAAAATATCTATGATCAATTATTTGAAGAAAAAAAATCTTCATATACATAAGATGTAAAAAAAAAAAAAAAGTAAATGAAATAACAACTTATATGTTATATTATACTTGGTCCTCAGTCAATATATTTCTTTCAGGTCAATATATCCTTGTATCGACCTCATTCAAAGGCTATAATTGATATATTCTTAATATCCGACCATATTTGTATCAAAATCCTGAATTGATTTTTATACGACCGCAAAAAAATTTTGTGGTCGTATATTGGTATGACGTCGATGTCCGGCGTTATCGTCCGAAGACACATTGGTTTTCGCACTCTAACTTTAGTTTAAGTGAATGGATCTCTATGATATTTTACCTTAAGGTTCAATACCACAAAAGGAAGGTTGGGATTGATTTTGGGGGTTATGGTACCAACAGTTGAGGAATTAGGGGCCAAAAAGGGGCCAAAAATAAGCATTTTTGTAACTTCCAGACATATATTGTGTGTTAGTGTATGGATCTCTCTCACATTGTACCACAAGGTTCCATATCACAAAGGGAATGCTGGGATTGATTTTGGGGGTAATTGCCTCAAAATTTTAGGAATCAGGGACCAGAAAAGGGGGAAAAAACAAGCATTTTTCTAGTTTCATGACAATAACTTGTGTGTAAGTGTATGGATCTACCTGAAATTGTACTACAAGGTTCCATATCACAAAGGGAAAGCTGGAATTGAGTTTGGGGGTAATTGCCCAAAATGTTTAGGAATAAGGGGCCAAAGATAAGCATTTTTATATGACCGCAAAAAATTTTTTGGGATCGTATAATGGTATGATGTCGTCGTCTCCATCGTCGTCCGAAGACACATTGGTTTCCGGACAATAACTTTAGTTTAAGTGAATGGATCTCTATGAAATTTTTTAAGAAGGTTCAATACCACAAAAGGAAGGTTGGGATTGATTTTGGGGATGATGGTCCCAACCGTTTAGGAATTAGGGGCCCAAAAAGGGGCCCAAAACAAGCATTTTTCTAGTTTCAGGATAATAACTTGTGTATAAGTATTTTGATTGCTCTGAAATTGTACCACAATGTTTAATACCACAAGTTGAAGGTAGGGATTCGTTTTATGGGTTATGGGGCCAACAGTTTAGGAATTAAGGGCCAAAAAGGGGGAGAAACGCATTTTTCTAGTTTCCAGACAATAACTTGTGTGTAAGTGTATGGATCTCTCTGAAATTGTACTACAAGGTTCCATACTACAACGAAAGGCTGGGATTGAGTTTTGGGGTTATTGCTCCAAGGGGGGTTTCAAAAAGTTTGGGGGGGGGATTTTTTTCCCAATTTTTTTAAGGGATTCATACTTTTTTTTCAAAATTTTTAAAATTTCGATTTTTTGAAAAAGTTTCAAGAAGAAATCTTCAATTGCACAGTATTGCGCAATGGATTTATAAGATCTTTGACCACATTTATTTTGTGTCAGAAACCTTTATTATGTCATAAATTTGATCACAATCCAAATTCAGACAGTATCAAGCTTGAATATTGTGTCCAAATTTGCCCGAACTGTTCAGGGTTTGACCTCTGCGGTCGTATCAGGCTGCGCTCAGCGAAGCATTTTATTCTAGTTTCCAGACAATAACTTGTGTTCAAGTGTATGGATCTCTCTGAAATTGTACTGCAAGGTACCATACCACAAAGGGAAGGCTGGGATTCATTTTGGGGGTAATTGCCTCAAAATTTTAGGAATTAGGGGCCAAAAAGGGGCAAAAAACAAGCATTTTTCTAGTTTCAGGACAATAACTTGTGTGTAAGTGTATGGATCTTTATGAAATTGTACTACAAGGTTCCATATCACAAAGGGAAAGCTGGGTTTGAGTTTGGGGGTAATTGCCCTAAACGTTTAGGAATTTGGGGCCAAAAAGGGCCTAAAAACAAGCATTTTTCTAGTTACCAGACAATAACTTGTGTTCAAGTGTATGGATCTCTCTGAAATTGTACTGCAAGGTACCATACCACAAAGGGAAGGCTGGGATTGTGTTTGGGGGTGATGAATCATAAGGGGGTTCAAAAATTTTCAGGGAGGGATTTTTTTCCCCTTTTTTTCCTTTTTTTTCTTTAAAATTTTCCATTTTAAATTGGTTATTTCTGATTTATATATAAAAGCAAATAATAATGATATGGTCGAATAGGTAAATTAAAAATTTTTAAGTTCTTAGACCACATTCATTCTGTGTCAGAAACCTATGCAGTGTCAAATATTTAATCACAATCCAAATTCAGTGCTGTATCAAGCTTGAATGTTGTGTCCATAATTGCCCCAACTGTTCAGGCTTCGACCTCTGCGGTCGTATCAAGCTGCACCCAGCGGAGCATTTTATTTGATTTTGTTGGAATTTTATAGATATCATATTGTCTGTCTCCTATACAATAACAACATATGAGTTGTTATTTCATTTACTTTTTTTTTTTTTTTTTACATCTTATGTATATGAAGATTTTTTTTCTTCAAATAATCGATCATAGATATTTTTTTTATAAAACTTTTAACGATATCATTAAATTCATTACATGACGTCACAAAGTATATCGGTTTTTAGATATTCTAAAAATAACCGTGCAATATGCTTTTTGCTATTCGCCGTTTTCTCTCTACCTTAGAAATTATAGTTTAACATGTGACTATCCATGAACGAATCAAATTAGTTAAAATATACGAATTAATAATATTATGGTATATTGTTGTCCGTCCATTTGTCTGTCCGTCATCAACATGTCGGACAATAACTCAAAAACGCTTTAACCAATTTGCTTGAAACTTTAGTGAATTGTTTATATCTATTGATGTGAGCTCCTTTTTGATTTTTATAAATTTTAGATTTTACATTTCAGAGTGATGGGGTTTTATTCATTAAAAAAGGGGGATTTTCCAGTTTTCGAACAATAATTCAAAAATGCTTTGAGCAGTTTTTGTGAAACTTTGGTGAATTGTTTTTATCTATTGACATAAGCTCCCTTTCGATTTTTATAAATTTTAGATTTTATGTTTCTGAGTTAAGGCATTTTATTCATAAAAAGGGGGGATTTTCCAGTTTTCAGACAATAACTCAAAAGTGCATTGAGCAGTTTTCTTGAAACTTTGGTGACTGGTTTATATCTATTAAATAACCTCCCTTTAGTTTTTTATAAATTTCTGATATGACATTGAGGAGTTATGGAACTTTATTCTTTGAAAAAGCAACAGGCGTATCATGCCCTCAAGGCGCAGCTCTTTATTTAGGCTGGTACACCAATATGAAAGACCATGTATGTCATTTTTATGTCATTTTTATGTTTAAACATTTTGTGTTGGAAATGTAAGATATGGAGATTATTTTATTGTTTTGAATGCTAGTCATGACATTATCCCTGAGCCCAATAACATTGGCCTTTGATTGATATTAGAGTCTCAAGGAACAGTTATGGTAAATGATGTTTTTGAATAGTCTGTGTGTATTGTTTGCTCTCAAGACTTATGGTCTCCAGCATACCTGATCAAAAAAAAAAAAATATGTCGTGTAAACTGTTATAAGTATTAATCCTTTGTATATCTCATTAATTTCAACTATTATTAAAAGTGATTGTTTAAGAACATTTATAGTTAACTGATGGTGTGTTTTTGTATTGACGCAAATTGAATCCTTTTTATACGACTGCAAAAATTAAAAAAATTTTGGTCGTATATTGGTATCTTGTTGTCGTCTTCGTCAGCGTCGTCCGAAGACAGATGGTTTCCAGGTAATAACTTTAGTATAAGTAAATAGAAATCTATAAAATTTTAACACAAGGTTTATAACATCTAAAGGAAGGTTGGGATTGATTTTGGGGGTTATGGTCCTAACTGTTTAGGAATTAGGGCCCAAATAAGCATTTTTGTAGTTTCCAGACAATAACTTGTGTTAAAGAGTGTGAATCTCTCTGAAATTATACCACAAGTTTCCATACAGCAAAGGGATGGTTAGGATTGACTAAGGGGGGTTATGGCTCAAACCATATAGGAATAAGAGGCAAAAAAGGGGGAAAAACAAGTTTTTTTCTGGTTAAAGGACAATTAAGACAATTTAAAGCAGTCTAAGGGAGGTAATCCAATCCCAATTTAAAACAACAATGTTTGATTACCTCCCTAACACTGCTTGTAAATTATGTATTAAGAAATGATGATTGTCTTGAAGCGATTAGCTGTCAATTTATTTTTAAAAGTTACTATTAATGTCTAATTTCAGATTTCAGAAATTAAAAAGAAAATTTCTTCAAATATTTTTTTTTTGGGGTTAATATTCAACAGGATAGTGTATTGCACAAAAGCAAAAAAATGGGGTCAATTTTATTTAGGGGGGGGGGGGGAGGGGGTCGATTCGCAACAGCATAGTGTATTGCACTAAAGCAAAAAATTGAATATAAATTCAAATCATATAACCAATTTTTAAGTTCTTTGACTACAGTTATTCTGTGTCAGAAACCTATTATGTGTCAAATATTTAATTACAATCCAAATTCAAACCTGTGTCCATTTTGGCCCAAATTTTCAGGGTTGGACATCTGCGGTTGTATCCAGCTGCGCTTTCCGAAGCAATTTATTATTATTTCCATGAAACATGAATTGGTAAGAAACAAAGATTACATGTGTGTGTATGGCTTAAAATTTTGTTTCTGTATTTCAGGATTATTGTATCAATAAAGGCAAGGGGGCTACATGGTATTTGAAAGGAACATTAATACCAGACTCATGACATCGTTGGAAAAGGAATAAGAATAGATTATGATTTATGCCAACGTGATAATTACAGGCTGTGTCCAGATGATCAACCATCACATCCTGTTTTGGCAAAAAGTTTGCTGTTTCATGACTTTATACCAGCACTTTGATTTAATTATGTGGAATCATTGGGACAGAAAACAAAAATCCATGATATTGGCTGGCAATATTTTTTCCTAAGAAATAATAACTAATTTCATATTTCTGTATATATAATGTATGTCAAATCTCATTCAAAAGTGACACAAATTGTTTTGTAGTGATTGATTCATTGTTAATTACTTCAATGCTGGTACATATGAGGAGACTAATGTGATGATTAATATAAGGAGGGAGATGCCAATTAGACACATATTCACCAATGTCTAAATGGTGTGGATGTAAGCAAATACAGGTCACTGGGCTACCTTCTGCAATTCACAAAACCTATTTCGCATAGTCTGTTACAAAAGACCAGACATGACAAAATGTCAAACAATTCAAACAAAAAACCAATGCTCGAATTTATGACAAAATAAAAAACCATTATCACAGACAGCAACTAACAACAACCACTGATTTATAGGCTCCTGATTTGGGACAGGCACATAAAGAATGTGGAGAGGTTTAAAAACATTTGTGTCGGCTCAACCTACTCTAACCTGGGACAGTGGTTTAACAGTACAATATAAGAAAAGACTAAAACTATTTTGATAATTACTTGACCCATCATATTGGCACAAAATACAGCTTCTGGGGATTCATTTATTTTCGTTGGAACCAGTTTTTGTAAATCATGTAGATTGAGGAAAACTTATACTCACAGTTACTGGAAGCTAGTTCAAAGCCAATTACTGAAATTGAGAAATTAATTCGTTCATTTATTATTGGGAATAACTAATTATGGGTACAAATGTGAGATCTAATTAATATGTGTGCAAAAACTACTGAAATGATGAAATTGCTAGCCTGATACTGTCATAGTTTGTACATTGATAAAACCATCTAAACAAATTCTGAAGGAATAGTACAACTGATAAATAATATTCTCCAAGACTTTAGTATCAATCAGTTCACATCCCTTAAGGTCATGAACAGTCTGAGCATGACCTTGTGTAATGTCAAAATAAACATTCATGTTGAAGTGTAGACAGGAAATAGGACCAGACATTTCCTTTATATGTCTCTGGTTTTCATAACTGTATAGCAATACTTTTTAGTTAGATATTAGTAAAATTGAAAACCTTCTTCAAGGGATCAATGAATTTACATTGGTTGTATCCAATAGTATGCTACAAAAATAAAGTGTGTACTGGATTTGTTATTTGACACACACTACTGAAAGGATAATATATATGTGTCTTTAGCACTGCTCTTTTCCTAAATGTGTACTGGATATCTAAAGATTTTTGATAAAAGGAATCAAATACTTTGAGAATAGGGTCAAATATAAAGGTAGTACCAGTGACATATAATACAACTATATAAGTCTCTGGTAATATACAGCCAAGTGTATGGTATACTGACAGAAAATTTGCTTCTAGGAAAAAGACACTGTGATGACTACAGACCAGACTGATAATTTGAACAAAAGAGGTCTGTATTCTCAGTTCATCTCTTCTTAAAACTATCACAAAAATAAGGAAGAGATGTGTATTTTCAATTTTGCACCCAAAAAGATATTGATGTCTCAGATACATCATATCCTCTGTATAGCATCAAGATGATGATTATGCATAAAGATGCAGGTATACAGATTTTAGATGAACAGAATAAGGCAACCTTTTTGTCTACTTGCAGATGTTTATTAAACATTTTGTCAAAATTTTTACTGTGGACTGCAGTAATGCTAGATTTAGCTTACTTGACCAAAAGCTTGATCCACCATCACTTGTTGTCTGTCATTGGCTGACAAAAACTTAACCTGAATGTTCCTAATGGCATCTCGTTTGTAAATATATATTTGGTATTGGATCCATCAACAAAATGCTGTTGCTTAAAACAGAACAGATGGGTCTGCATATATTTTGGGGGTAAAAATAGCATGAAATGCATCAAAACCTTGTGTCACTAGCTACATAATTATATATTCCAAGCCTCATCTCTACTTTTGAGAGTTCACACAATGTAATGCAGTGAGGTGAACATTCTTAGGATTATTATTCATGCCCATGTCAAGCAATTGAGTATTTATTTATACTCGTATATTCAAGTTACAAAATTGTGGTCATTGTGTATGAATCTTTCTGTACTATAAAAAAAAAGGGGGGGGGGGGGGGGGGGGGGGGGGGGGTGTTCACGCTTATGGACATTGGAAGATAACTCCAATTCACCATATTGCCCAAATGTTTCCAATTGCAATTAATTGTATGTCTGACTTGAAGTTAACATTACAAATTTAAAGCAATCTTACCCTACAGTGCTAATAAGCACTTTGATTGGTTTATGTCTTGAAAAACAATAATAGATGGAGAAAAAACTATCACATCAAAACACTCTGGAGCCATATATGTTTTCATTTGTTTATAATTGTCAATTGACTTCCTTTGAGAAATATTGCCCATAAATGATGATTTTTACCAATTTTGTGTGTTTTTTTCTATTTTTATGCCCCCGCCGTAGCGTTTTACCCTTGTCTGTTTATATGTACATCCATACGTCCCAAAAATGGTTTTCATTCTCTAACTTTAGTTTGCCTCAACCAAATGTTATGAAACTATACACAATGCTTATTACCAACAAAACACGGGTCAAGTTTGAATTTGGGTAGCGTCACTTTTACCATTCTAGAGTTATGCCCCTTTACAAATTAAAAAATTGCAGAATTTTTCGTTTTTATACGACCGCAAAAAATTTTGCGGTCCTATATTGGTATCACGTCCTCATCGTCGTCGTCCAAAGACATTTGGTTTCCGGACAATAACTTTAGTAAATGTAAATAGAAATCTATGAAATTTAAACACAAGGTTTATAACCACAAAAGGAAGGTTGGGATTGATTTTGGGGATTATAGTCCTAACAGTTTAGGAATGAGGGGCCAAAAAGGGGCCCAAATGAGCATTTTTCTAGTTTCCAGACAATAACTTGTGGTATGGTGTATGGATCTCTCTGAAATTATACCACAAGTTTCCATACCACAAAGGGATGGTTAGGATTGGCTTTGGGGGGTTATGGCACCAACCCATTTATTAGTGTTTTGGTTTGTTTTTCAAGTACTGTAAGCAATAGGTCAACTTTATTTGGTGTATGGAATGATTGTAAGGTGTACATGTCTGTCTAGCTGGTGTCATCTTACCTTGACCTCATTTTAATGGTTCATTGGTAATTGTTAAGTTTTTGTGTTTTGGTCTGTTTTTCAAGTACTATAAGCAATAGGTCAACTTTATTCGATTTATGGAATGATTGTTAGGTGTATATGTCTGTCTAGCCGGTGTCATCTGACCTTGACCTCATTTTCATGGTTCATTGGTTAACATTAAGTTTTTGTGTTTTGGTCTGTTTTTCGATTACCGTAAGCAATTGGTCAACTAGATTTGGTGTATGGAATAATTGTAAGGTGTACATATCTGTGTGACCTTGACCTCATTGTCGGATCTTTAAGAATGTTAAGTTTTTGTGATACTTGTAGTTAAACCTTTCAACATAAAATCAGTGGTCAGTAAAACAGTCGAGACATTTCAGCGTGTGCACTCTTGTTATAGTTTGTTCTTATGTTGTACTGTTATACCACTGTCCCAGGTAAGGAGGAGGGTTGGCGCCTTCAAACTAGTTTAACTCCGCCACACATTCTGTATGTGCCTGTCCCAAGTTGGGAGCCTGTAGTTCATTGGTTATCGTTTGTTGCTGTGTAACATGTTTGTTTTTCGTTCATTATTTTGTACATGAAATTAGGCCGTTAATTTTCTCGTTTGAATTGTTTTATATTTGTCATTTCGGGGCCTTTTATAGGCTTACTATGTCATTATGGGCTTTGCTCATGGTTGAAGGATGTACGGTGACCTATAGTTGTTAATTTCTGTGTCATTTGGTCCCTTGTGGAGATTTGTCTCATTGGGAATCATACCTCATCTTCTTATTTTTAAATAAACCGAGATATTTATTAAATATGCATATTCTTGTGAACTGTCGATCAACACAACAGACTGATTTTATTTATAATGTTAGTACATGTTTACAACTCCTCGTCCAATCAAATTGCCTTAATTTACTATCTAAGTTTCATAGTATATACCATATCCGTGTACTTAGTACGCTTCGTGCGAAGAAAATAGAAATTTTAAGTTGCTGCGAACAAAACGAAAATTAAACAAACACAAAAAAACCTTTATACAATATTGTAAAATAAAATTAATATTTGTAAATTAATTCAAAAATTCAAACTTAGAATTTAATCCGATTTTCAATATGGAAATTATTGTTCTACTAGTTTCATGAATATTATCATTGTTTTTCACAGAAAACCACCATTATAGGTTGGTTTGTTTGTCTGGCTTTGACGAGGTCGAAAAAGCGAGAATTAGGCGTACTGTTTCCAGCGTCTGGAGCATTGTCAACAACGTATTAGTTTGATTAGGTCAGTTTATGGAGAATCATTAGTGGTAGGTCAATGATATTTAGTATGCAGTTGTATTTAGATTAACACATCTCTTTTGCCATGGAGATTATTTGGCCCCAACCCCACAGTCATTGTCTAGTTTATATGTATTGTGATTAGGTCAGTTTATGGGGAAACACTAATAGTATATCAATGGTATTTTCTATGCAGATGTATTCTCATTGGTACATCTTATTTCTTATTTCCAGATTATTTTGGTGGGGTATGTGTTGCTCAGTCTTTAGTTTTCTGTGTTGTGTTTTGTGTACTGTTGTTTGTCTTGTTGTCTTTTTCTTTATTGCCATGGTGTTGTCAGTTTATTTTTGACTTGTGAGTTTGAATGTCCTTTTGGTATCTTTCGCCTCTCTTTTCGATGGAGATTATATGGCCTCGTCCCATCATCATGGTTCTTTGACTTTATAACTTTTGCATAATTTACAAGGTAAAAGTTTGTGTTTAGGTTAGTTTAAAGGGAACCACTTGCTTGTGTTTATGTTAGTTTGAAGGGAACTACTTGGTATTTGGTATGCATTATTTTAAGCATTAGCATTTCTCATTTCCATGGAGGTTATTTGGCCCTGCACCTTCAGTCATGGTTCATTGACTTTGAATGTTTTGCATAGTTTACATGTTTAAAAATTGCCATTTTAATTTCAACATTTGCATTATACTATCAAAATTACAAAAAGCTTTGATAAATGAGCTGAGACTCTGACCATTCATCTTTCATGTGTGGAGGGCATGTTTGTTTTAATAAATTGTTTGATTAATTTATTTTTTAAATGAAGAAAAAATGTTTCAAACTGGAAGAGAAAAAAATAGTTTGTTTCCATTGTGAATTATGAAAAATAAATATTACAGTGAGGTTACTTTAAAAAAAAAACATTACTGTATAATAGTGTCCTGAAAAGGAAAATGATCTTAACGGTACTACATCTGTTTCGCATTTCGACAAATAATGTCTATTCTGTGATGCTTGATGCGAAATTTTTCAAAATCCAAAACCTACTACAAACGTTGAAGAGCTGATAAAACCATAAAGAACGTCAAGTATAGCCTAATCCGAATAGGTGCGCTATGGGGTCAGTTTGGCCTAAACTTTATTATAAAATCAGAGGAGTTATAAGATAATTGATATTATCTTAAAAATTAGGGAGCTACCATTTGATTTTTATGGGGGGGCTAGGATGAAAAATTTTGTCCTGCATTTTTTTTTAGTTGAAATCTCTGTCCTGCCTTTTTATTTTTCACTCTACTCGGTCCTGCCTTTTTTTTTTATTAGTTTATCCAAGGATTTGTATAGTGAGATATACAAATCCTTGGTTTATCCAGAGACATATATACACATGTGTATATATGTCTCTGGTTTATCCTGACTTTTTTTACATAAATTGTAATCCTGCCTTTTTTTTTTTGCCAAGTTGCTCATCCTGCCTTTTTTTTTACTCAAAACTCCTGTCCTGCCTTTTTTTTCATGTTTCATCCTAGCCCCCCCCCCCCCCCCTCCATAAAAATCAAATGGCAGCTCCCTTAGAACCGTAAAAAATTTCAACAATTGTGAAAATTCGCCGAGATTTGTCAATCGAAAGATAACATTAATTTGATGATTTTTTTCAAAATAAATGACAAAAACATGTACATAAATTAGCCCTCGTTACGGAGGAGGAAAATGTTTAGACAGGGGGCCTGGGGGCTAGGAAGGCGACCCCCATACGCTGACCATTTCATAGTGCAAAATCCCAAGACTTATTTTGCTAATAGTTTCAGGACAAGATGCATAAAAAATAGGCACTGGCTACGATTACGTTGAAATGTAACAATAATAAAAAAAGTTATTGTTACATTGGTCTCTAATTGTCGGAATGCAAAGTTGGATTAGGAACCGATTATTTATGAACGTAACAATAATATTTGTGTCTACGGCTACGTTGCGTTATTGCTACGTTAATGCACCTCAATGTATGCAGGGACTAGTAATATGTATTAAATTATAACTTGAAAA